AACACAGGCCTGAGCCTAAAAGAAACCCAATAACATCATCATCAGTTGTCTATTATCACTAATTACTTCTCTCCGACTTCATGAACAAACTTCCTCAAGAGCTACATAAGCAATTAAACAGCTTTTAGCGGCTGAGCAGAACTGTTCGTGGCAAGAAAACTGATCCTAATGTGTAGATTCAGTGCAGTGAACCTTTAATTGGTGGTCTGGCTTGGCTGTGTTTGTTTATATCGCTGATATTATTATCTCATAATGTAGCACCCATAAACAGAGCACCTTTCACCTGATCTCTTGTAAGTGTTGAAGACTGATAAGAGCTGCTTTAGTGAACACAAAGGCTGCTTCGTCAAAGGGTTTATGATTGCCGACATCTATCCATCATTCCTAACCGCTGTTAGGTTTACAGCTCTGATCTTTGTTCAGCCATGTAGATATAGATATGGGTCAATCCGTGTCAATTCAGACAGAACTCAAGAAATATGTTGCTGCCCTATCTCAGATTTTGTTGAGAGTTTACCTATTTGTTATTTATAACCCCAAACTGAGTCCGATCACAATATTTTGTCAGAAGTTTGAGAATTCAAAACGTTGTCAGACCTGTGAAATTTTGCATTTTCACAGACGAAATATCATCTTAGCTAGGAAAGCATTTTAAGGGTTCAGTATCTCTAAAAATACAACTTCCACTGCCATGAAATTTAATGAGGACACAGGTAAAGTTGTTTAGAGCAGATCCTAATGCTTCAATGGCTCTCGCAGAGGCCATAATTTTAATCATTAGTCCCTAAAAATGCAGGAAGAAGTTGAAAATTTTCAAGCAAGGTAGTTTTGGGGCCCCAGAAATTTTCTATAGGCATATATCCAAGTGTGAATCCATAGTTTTGGGTGAAAATACAGTCTTTGGTGGACATTTTACCAACTTTTGTGGCCTCTACCGTCAGACAAATTTAATTTGTGGCAAGTCTGACGAGCCAAGGTTCCAGTTTTGTTTTTGTTTTTTTGCAAATAGATAGAATCCTGAGTAGCGATGTGCTAGTGTTCCTATGTGGGTAGGATCTTCTACTAACGAGCTCACCAGAGGTTCGGGTCGTATCCTTGGTAACGTGCATGGCTTCCCGTGGTCATCAAGCACCTCAAAGGTCATGAAGGCTGAGTTTATGTGTCGGTTAGGCCCGTCCTCGTGGTAGGCCTCTGCACGCACCCCTACTTCCATGCTGCAGGAAACACATCAGAGACAATTTGCTGCAATACCGAGCTGTTATCATCACCCATGTTCTCCCTCATGCCATATTTTCTCTGATCTTATCTTCTGTATCTTTATGACTGTCCCTGGATTCACTGTACCTGTTTTTGAAGGCGTTGTTGACTATTGCCTTCATCAGCAGTCTGTCTCCAACCTGAGAAGGTCCTCTGAAAGTGAACATGTCGATGGTCCGAAGAGTCGGATGAGCCTGACACAGACGACTGCACAGAGGAAAAGAGAGTGTACAAAACGATGGAAAAACAACAAAAAGAGAATATTCTAGTTCTCTGTCATGCATCTACAAGTTAGCTTCTGTTATCTAGTTAAGCTTATCTATATCTGTTGTTGTCTCTTTGTTGTCTTTCTTATTGTTTACTTTAAATAAACTCACACCGAACAAAAAAAAAAAAAGTATGCATGTGAGGCAGACGACTGAAAACACCTCCTGTGTAGATATACTATAAAAATACACTGGAGTCTCTGGTACACAGCTGGACTTTAAATAGAATTTGAAGAAGCTCAAAAACACCAGCGTTTTGATCTCTGAGGCTTCTTTTCATGCTCTCATTCAGCCTCAGTTACGGCTGTAAACACATCACATCCTACACGCAGGTGAGTGCAGTTGCGTACGTGTAACCTCTGGAATCCCCAGTGGAGTCAAATAAGGAATTTTTTATTTATTTAAGGTTATTTTTTTTGGCCTTTTTGCCGTTATTTGAGAGTGCAATTGAGAGAGACAGGAAAGTGGGGGAGAAGAATGGGGGAACAACGTGCGGAAAAGGGCCACGAGCAGGATTCGAACTCATGACCTATGAGTTGGGGACTATAGCTCCTATACATGGGATGGCAGCTGAACCAGGTGAGCTCTAGTGGTGCCCAAATAAGGAATTTTAAATGTGTGTGTGTGGATCTTCGCTTCACATTTAGCTACAGCATCACGACTGCTATCAAATTATGGAAAAGACACCAAAAATGTAAGATAATGAATGTGATTGTACCTGGCAGCAATCGTAGCTACATTCACCATCCAGGCCATGATCTGTCCTCCAAAAGTATTCACCTGATATTTAGACAAACACAAATTATTTGACACTGATGTGAGACTGTACAAACAAAAAACCCTTTTAATTCATCAAATGTCAGGGGCCTCATTTATAAAACTGTGCATAGAATCCTTATTAAAATTTGAGAAAAATGGTGAAAAACACACAATTTTCCCCTCCAGTGAACAGAGACGAGCCTCAGACACTCCCACCCAGCAGCTCCCACAATTAAAGCATAAATGGACAAAGCAAATCCCTCGTGACTGAGTGAACAGGACGCCTCTCCTGTGGGCTGTTCAGGAGCAGGAATGTGCTGATGAGCCAGCAGCTGATGAAAGCAGCACAGTCAGCTGTAGACAGGACTGTAACTGATGAAATAAATCACAGATATAAATAGTTGGGATTTGGCTTGGCCTGTGTTTCTAAAAATGGAGAGATGCTTATGAAATATTTAGTCTTAGTACACACACATATATATATATATATATATATATACATGAGAACACTTACCCACACTAACCTCAATATGTATTATGAAGTAAAAGCATAAATCATAGTTTGGTATCAATTAAACTAAATCAATGATGAGTATGATTCGAAAACGTTGGTTCAAAACGTTTAGAGAATAGGTGCCCTCATAGCCAAGTGGTTAAGGCTCACATCACATGTGGGAAAATCTCCTTAGCAGCTGAGTCCACTGTTTGATTTTCAGCCAGACGGGAATGTCACTGCCCTGCTCTCTTACTTCACTATTCCTATCATTTCAAACCTATTTATGTAATCAAGGCAAAAAAAAAAAGCAAATAAAAGATGTGATGAAAATGCTCTGCCATGTGCATACAGTCAGAAATGAGGCCCTTGATGTTTAAATTCACCCTGTGTTGCACAGAAAAGTGCTAAAAATCCCAATCGAACTCAGATATTTTAAGAACAGGGTCAAATATAGCATCAAATATGAAATATTATCTCATCGAGGAAAAGCTGCTGATTCCTTCCTCAAGAGTGACACAAATAGAGAGAGAGGCAGACAAACAGATACACAAATAAATCAACAACCTGATGGTTTGCATGTGGAGGTAGAACCAGCTCAACACTCTCCACCTTGGTCTTTTCTGCTGCCACTTTATTGGAGACTGCCGAGCTGTCAGCTGAGATACAATCACGTGAATTTTCATTATTTAATTTAACGATTACAAAATTCAAAAGAAAATGTTTATTTCAAACCCAAGCCATGCCCAATATTTACTAAGAAAAACGACAGGAACATAATAAAGAGCATGTTCGTTTCTTTGCATGCTGGGATGTAACAGTGTACATCAAACCTACCCTGCTGGATCGACCCACTGGAGAGCAAGTCTTTGATAATGTCATCGTGCACCATCCGGACCCTCCTCCTCTCAGCTGCCACGCTGTACTCCACCTGCTCCTTCTGAGTGTGAGGGACGATGGGCTTCAAAGTCACCTGTGACGTAATTTGACAGTAAATTTTAGTGTGCATTTAACAAGACCTGCACACGTTATCACACAAACATGCAGACTAGACCTTAACGGCATTAAATGATATCTGAATCTGTTTTGCATTACTTCTATACATCGACATATGAGACACAGCCAGAAGTCATTGGTCATTTTTTTTATTTTGTAACTCTCTGATCTCAAGAACCTGCCAATGGATAAAAAAAAAAACATGTAATGCGATAAAAAAAAAATGACTGCAGACTGTGTTAATACAGAGCAGAGAGGAGATTTTATACATATATATATATTTTTATTTCATAAAATAAATGCAGCATGGCTCAAAAACAGTACACAGAGGAGCAAGTTGGTGAAAGTTGTTGAAATATCTTTGCAGAGTTGATGTGCAAAGTAGAATGAAAAATGTTTGTAGAGGCTGTAAAAATGTCAAATAGCCCATCTTTAGCATGTTGAGCTGACAAAAACTGTACAAAAGACATCTTTAAGTTCTTCAAACATGGTTGTGCTCTTTCTATAGAGGTGCATCACTTTATACTGGAGTGAAAAATGAGCCTAAAAATGTAAATGGAGCAAAGAAGTGCAAAAAAACGGCCGAGGGTTCAGAGGGTTAATAATAATTCCCTTCTTCTTGTGCACTGCAGTCAGTATTACAGCAATTTTTCCTCGACCACACCACAGCCATTCTTAAACCCCAAAAGAATCACCCCTGTGGGTCTCTTGGCAGTCCATACAGCCCCGCTCACCTTTTGTCCTGTGCTTGTGCGTTGGGTAACGAAGGTGGCGTAAGCGTGACAAACCCTCCAGTGACGATCAGAGAACAGGTCCTCACAGCTCACCTGTATGCCCACCTGGAGTGGAATATAAGGGACAATCTATGGTGAATATATGACAGCATTTCTTCATATGTTGAGGGAAAAACACTATTCTACTGATCACACAAGAAGAAAAAGCCTACTAACAGCAGCAACCAGTATCCTTGTAACTACCAGTATTAACTTCGTCTTTCCTGGTCAAGCTGTTGGTCACATAATAGATATACAGATAATCCCACACACATGAAACAAAATGGTAAAAAGATTAATAGCATCTCAACCCAGTGGTCAAATCTGCTTTTAGAATTTGAAATGGTTTCTGACGGTAGCTTAAAACGGTGGAGGCTTCTGCTTCTTTCACAACAGAGCAGCCTACTAACGATGACAAATGTCTTCACCAAACTGTCCAAAGAAGTTTTTCAGCACCATCCAAAAGGATTTTAGCCACAGCCAAAGGAAAGTCACCAGCACCAAAATGACAGGAAGTGAGAATGTTTTGTTGCTTGTGATTTCATTTACTCAAGAATAATACATTTTCTGATATGAAATGATCTAAAATAACAGGAAAATGCACAGATTTCTGTCAATGAGGAAACACAGATTTATTTTACACTCATTGTGAGCCAAAGACCAAAGCTGACAGTTTAAACTAGAGATTAGAGAACGGTTATCCCTAACCCTGGCTGATCATCAGGACCAGTGTTAGGCATTTTTTCCAGCATCATTATCTTGATTAACCGATTACCGACAAAATAAATCAAATGCTCCATGACCCGCCTACAGCACTATCTGATTGGTTGAGTGTTGAGCGTATCAACACTGAAAGCTGCTGTTTAGACAGATGACCACATTTGCAGAACTGAGCCATGTTTTGAAGGTGAGGTAGCCAATACTGCTGACGGTGTACAAACCACCACAATGTTACGCAAGCATGCCCAGTTTCCCCAATACACCTAAAATGCCAGAATATTGCTTGTCTGTCTTGATTGTCACTTGCTGTTGTCAGTACGACAGGAACTTATTTTGCTGACGGTGCTAAAGCTATGACTACAAGGCTTGCTGTGCCTCGTTGTCTGGTGTATCGTAACATCTAATAGTGAGGTTGACGTGAACAGTCTGCTGTAACTGACAAGAATGAGACTCTTTAGCAGATACAACCTGCAAAAACTGAACAAGAAGCACAGCCATCGCCACAAATCAGGAAATTGGTTCGTTTCACAGTGGCAAAGGCTAAGCTAGCCTAGCAGCTAAGTTAGCAGGAAGCCTGAAACAGAGTCTGGAAAACAAAACCACACAATACTTTGAGATATTGGCTTTAGTGGGTAATAAAAGTGATAAAACAGTGAACAATCTGGAAAATAGACCAACAGTTATAGAGCTCACAGGGAAGAAAAGAGAGCATCCTTATGTTGGTAACAAGATCGGCTCTGATAAAACCGTATCGGTCGATCCGCATTTGAATTTGTAACAGAAACGAACTGACGTTTTGTGTAAATAATCGTGAACTTGCATGACCTTATGATTATTAGAACTGAATGGGAAAATACTGTCTGTGCTTACTTGGCACACTTGTAATTCCACCCACAGCTTTGAGTACGTCAAAAGCGTGAGAGTTTACTTGAGGTCGTCGATGCTCGACCACAGAGTTCAGGAGAACCAGGGCGGAGCTGAGAGTATGGGAGGAGGCTGAATACAAAGGGACTTTGACATTTGCATACTCCTGCTAATGTGACTGTCCTTTTGACCAAAGAATTTCCAGTAAAACTCACAGAGACTCGTTACTACTTCTGTGATCTATCCATCTATCTATCTATCTATCTATCTGTCTATCTATCTATCTATCTATCTATCTATCTATCTACTATGTCAACTTGACCTTCACTGACCTCCATACTGGTGTTGAAAGCTCTGTTGACTTTCGCCCTGATGTTCACCACCTGACCCACACTGAGCAAAAGAAAAGAAGAATTAGTGCATTTAGATCCACCCTTTTGCAAACTAACACACACACACACGTCTTCTTACCTAATTGTGTGTTCAAAGTAGATGTCATCAATGGAAGCAGTGACGCAGGGACTTCCAGCGTGCCTCTCAGCTGCCCATATGACACAGTGATAAGTCATTTTCTGTCTGGCTTGGCTTTGCGTCACACACTGGACACTCATAAATGTAACAAAAACCTATTTCCACACACACAAACCTCACCAGAGAGGCAGGCGGTGGAGTCCATCCACTTGAGCAGCTGTCCCACGCTCAGTTCCTGCCGATGGTTGCTGTGACACGGCATCACTATCTGACTCATTTTCACCTCTGTCGGGTTGTTCCTCTCTTCTTCTTCTTCCTCCTCCTCCTCTTCATCCTCCACATCACCAAACAGTCTGGAAGTCATCATCAAAGCTGGGGGAGGAGTTTTTTTTTTTTAAATTAAAACAGGCACCAATACAATCAATATGCACCTTTTAGGTCTTAGAGCCAAGCTGTAATTACACATGTAGCCTGTTCACAAACAAGCTTTGTTGAGGTTGTTCCTTTGGTTGTGGAGCTACTTCCTGAACCAAATCCCTTAAAATAAGCTGTTCAGAAGGTTTTTAATGCCATACAGAATGATTTTGCATCTATCAAAGGCATATTCACGATGCATAAACAGGATTTTAAGGAGCTGATCATGTATTGTTTACAACAGAAGTGAGTTCACTCCTGTGAGATACAACTTCAGTATCAATGTAATCAATGACTGAAAACTGTATTACCTGATAATATTTATAGTACTTAGTAAGTTGAACAGTAGATATTTGCACCTCTGTGAAATTAAGAACTAAGTTTGAATTAACATGTTAAAATGCAGGCCTCACAGTAGGAACTCAGTGCAACAAAAGTCAGTACCGAGATTCAAATCAAATTTTTTTAATTCTTCATATGTGCACCTTTATTTTTGATGACTGGCCCAGTACTCCTCAGCATTGAGGATACCAATATTTCCAGACAGGGAGTCATCTTGTCAGGCTGTATTTTCACACACATTCACTGTGCCATCTATAAATATCATCTCCCCAACACCTTTTGCTCTCATGCAGCCCCATATCATCACACTCCCGCCTTCGTGCTTCACTGTCAGGACAATGCATTCACTTGGATTCAATTTATCTTGGACTCATTTGTCTAAAGAACATGCTGCAAATAATCATCTGGGTTGTTTTCATGTTGTTTGAGAAGGTTTACTCTTAGTGCCGGACAGCGAGCAAAGAATGCTGTTCATGCAACATTCTTCTCACTGTCTGAGCTATCACAGAATCTCTTCCACTGATAACCCCTGTGCCAAGTCTGAAGCACTTGCCCATCTGTTTTTTTACAGATTGATCGTGCAAGTAGTGTTCTGTTCGTGGCGTCATTTAAGGATGATGACCACCTCAGCTCTGATTAGTGGTACTATGACTCATTCTATAACCCCTGATTACTGCTGCAACTGTGTCTCCACTGATTTTTAGTTGATCTTCCTGGATTCTTTCACATCTTTGTGAAGCCTTGTGATCTGATTTTTTTTAATCTTGTGGCTATTCTTTTCCATGTGGAGCCATGATGCAAACAGACACAGTTCATAGGTCCAAAACAGAAAAAAAAAACTTGTGGTGCTCAAAAGTCAATTAATAAACATATTCATGCAGTGAGGGCTGCAAGGTGGCGCAGTTGGTAGCACTGTTGCCTCGCAGCAAGAAGGTTACCGGTTCGCGTCCCGGTTGGGGCACCGGAATCTTTCTGCATGGAGTTTGCATGTTCCAGTGCCATTCCAGTGGCAACCTGTGGAGCTCTGGTGAACTCCATGCCCAAGCGGGTTTAGGCAGTGCAGGAAAATAATGGTGGTCACACACAATAATGACACTGGGCCCAACAGTGTACTCACTTTTGTTGCCAGCATTTCAGACATTCATGGCTGTGTATTGAGTTATTTTGAGGGGACAGTTAATTTACACTGTTATACAAGCTGTACACTGACTACTTTACATTGCAGCAAAGTGTCATTTCTTCAGTGTTGTCCCATGAAAAGATATAATAAAATATTTGCAGAAATGTGACATCCTGTATATTCACTATTGTTGCATTGAAATTCTACAGGAGCCTGTCTTTCTCAGGCATTAGTTTTTGCAGGCGTTTTTCAACTTAGAAATGCTTTAGTTATTGAGAGGTGATCCAATTTTGAAACACGTTACATTTAGATGGCATTGTACTCACTTCTGTTGTACACTGTGCAGTCGTCCTCAAATGTATTCAAACCCTTCCATTAAAGAAAAGGCAAATTTCACAACAGTCACTCAAATAACTAGAAACTGGAAAAAGTAATAATAAATAAAAATTTGCTAAATTATAATTTAGTGAAATAAGACACTGCTTTTGAATTGTGGTTGAAAAGAATAATTTAAAAAATAATTAGAGCACGTTGCCGATGAGCAGAGGGCCAAAATCAAGTCTGATTGAGAGTTACAGAAAACACTTGATTGCAGTGATTGGCTCAAAGAGTTGTTCAACAAGATATGAGTTTATGGGTCCCATCATGCTTGTTTGCATGTTGTTGTTTTTTTTGTTTGTCTTGTTTTTTCAATATTTCTGATGATCCACAATTCAAAAGCAATGTCATGATTTTCATATTTTTTGTATTTACTATTACTTTTTGTCAGGGTGGCTATGAACACATCTGAGGACGACTGTATGTGGCTCCACAACCTCAACTTCAACTTCTCTATCTTTACTTTAAAAGGCAGTCTCCTCAGACCATGAGTCACCAGGACACACTGCTCAAGTGTTTTACTGACGATTACATTCACACAGCTAATGATGGCGACACAGATTAGTGCAATGACTTCCTGATCATGAATCACTTTCAAATGAATGCCTGTTTTTTCCCCCCTCGGTAAAGTTTTGTTCTAGTCACAGTTACATCTCCACATCTGCATTTCGCAGGTAGCCACATGTGCAGAAACCCACCAGACCGGTTTACATTTACGAGTTAGAGGTCTGTTTGTGTTGCAGTGTTGATGCACGGATCACTGCAAAACACTTCCAGTCAGACTTCATAGCAAGAAGTAAAGTCCCTCTAGTTCAAGAAACATCAAGGTACAGTAGCAAGGAGCTAAACAGGCTAATGCTAAATACCTGTAGTTTACTATAGACTGTGTATGAAAGATGGACGTAGCTGCTGCATCTTTTATAAACAGTGTGTTTAGCTTTCAGTCGGTTTTATATTTGACAACAGATGTGCAATTATCTAGTCATCTCTTTCAGAAACATACATATAAAATATAAAGTACCTGCTAGCAGAGAGTTTGCTGGTCGCTGAAGTTATTGAGTTATTAATTTTACTCACTTTAAAAAAAACACACACATACGCACTCTCACGTTAGCGGCTCATAAAGCTGCCAAACACGTTCATGCTAGCTGGTTAAAGCTCTTGCCAATGCTGACACTAGCCGTCCTCACAATTAAACGACATAAAACGATAGTTAGCTTTGACATGTTAGTTTAAATGAAGATACGAACCTGGCAGCGGACAGTCACAGCGTCAAGTTCCACACAGACACCACGTAAAGTAAACAGCAACTCGTGTTCCGGTAGGGTCTGTCAAAATAAAAGCTGCACTAACCAACGTGCTCTTCCTGTGGTGTGTCTGTGTGTTTTCAGGGGTTAAACTGCTCCTTCAGTGTCACAGCATCTTTGTTTTCAGATATTGTATGCATATTTGTAACAGAAAACATTCTAATTCAATGACTTTGATAAACACTTTAAATTGCAAACATTATTTTGATAGGTTATGTTGACTTAATAACATTGAAAATTGCACCAACTTAACATCGTACTATAAACAAATTTCTGCTTTAGTTGATTTAAAACTAAATTCATGTTTTATATCAATCGGTTAAATCGACGTAAAAAAAATATTGGTAATTGAATTAACTTGACAAAGTGTGTTCTTTAAACTAATATTCCTTAAAAACAACACAAAACTGAAAGACAAAAATTCTAATTTACTTATTTAGATCAACCTTTTAAGTTGTAAACACTATACTAAGTTACTGTAGATAGATTAGTTGAATTGAGGTGTTGTATTGTTTTCCTTTTGTCCTGCACATTGCTTTTAGGTGAGCTGTTTTACTTTGAATTTATTTCACATGTTTCACTGAAATTAAAAAGTACAGCTATTATACCATTTTTTATGTATTTGTTAAATTTGCTCTGACTGCTTAACACTGATATCTGCCTATTTAGACTAATTTTATTGACCATTGAAATGCTACCAATACAATGCAGGCGAACAGAATTTAGCTTGAGGTACAACATCAACACTAAGATGCAGAAAATTCAGCTGCAACACATCTTTCCAGAAACAGACCGGTCGTTATTCTTGATGAGCCACATCCACAGAACACAATGCGTACAGTTTTAACTACAACTATCTCCTGTAGATTCCACTGTTTGCAGTCACATCTATAAGCACCGACCTCCTTCCCCTCACAAACATCAATTCAACCAGAGTGCCTCCGTACTATACCTCCCACCAGGTGTGATGTGAGTGTGCAATTGAACTGCTGCTACTTTGAAAGTTTCACAGGACATGTTGAAAAAAACAAACACTTGAAAACAATATCTGACTACATATCACAACCACTGAAAGAATGACAATTAAAGTGATTAAAAGTCTACTAACAGAAATAGCAGAGATGGCAGAGCAAGAAAATTATACCAGCAGTGATTTTATGATTTGAACTTTGTGAAGGCAAAACACCTGACTGATCTTCTGCAAACTCGACAAACCTCTACACACGACACAACTGCGACAACGCTTTGAATTACCTGCCTGCATCCTTCTGTTTGTGCTGTACATTCCTCTGCTGGTCTCCTTCTGTCACTGTGAGGTCGGTTCAGTGCATTTTAAGCCAGCGTTTCCTGTCATTAAAGGGCGTGAACCAGCTCACCCTGCTGCATTCTGTTGTCTACCTGCTGTGGCCTTTCACAGGTTGATATGCTGACATGCCTGTCGTATGTCATCTAGTGCATACTTCATGAAGGCATCATTACTCGAGAAGGTACTCTCGTGGAAATCAATCGAAGCTGTGTTATTTCTGGTTATATTAAAAGTCAATATTTGCTGGCACCCCCCCAAGTAAACTCCGAGCACAGATCACCAGGTGAGGGGGCATTTTGCAGCGCGTCACCATGAAGACAATCATTGACTTCTTTAGACTTTTATTTACAGCAGAGGTTTCGCTGTTTGATGTGGCAGATAAAGCGCTTCTAGGCAATTTGCCCAGCGACACACATTTGCAACTCTGTATCCTAAATAGAACCTGTTACTGCGCTGTCCTCACATGACAAGCACTGCCTTTCTACAAATCATACTTGCTTATGAAAATATGACCTTTCTGCAAATTCACACCACTACTGTCAAAGTTTAAAACTCCCTCTTGTAAAAAAAAAAAAATTTTAACTTTTATTTAACCAGGAAAAGGCTCATTGAGATTAAAAAGAGTGTCCTGGCCAAGACAGGCAGCAGCACAACTGACAGACAGACAAGGTCACAGCATCCACACAGATATCATTACTCATAATGCATGAAAAAACACAAATTCAGAAGAAAGGAACATATCAGCAGAGATCAGAAACATAACAAGCAAAATAATCATCTGTCGAAACATCTACAGACTGATGTTTTTGCCTCCAAGTCATTCATAAGCACTTCAAAAGTATTTAAAGAAACCAGCTCTTGAAGTTTCAGGTCTTTTTGTAAAGTGTTCCAGGTCGAGGGAGCAGTGAATTTAAAAGCCTGCTTTCCCCGTTCAGTTCTAGCCTTAGGAACAGACAGTAACAGTAGATCCTGGGACTGCAACTGTAACCACTTGCAGCTTTTATACAAATAAAAACCTGTAAATAACGAGGAAGCAAGCCTAAAATACATTTATAAATAAAAATATACCAGTGTTTTTCCTTCGTGTGGTCAAATCTGACCATCCAACACGAGAGTGCAACAAACAATGATGTGTAAAAGACTTAAAAACTTGTGATAAGCGCCGTGATAAACTGAATCTAAAACACTCAGGCTTTGAGCAGAAGCATTCATATATATCGTATCGCCATACAATCTTTCTTTTTCATTTGTACACTGGTAACATATCCAGATAGGGTTTTTTTATCTGCCGGAAGGAACATAAATGTATCAAGTCAGCAGTCATTTCCACCTTAAAACTTCAGTGTACTGATGACTGCCTCAAAAACACTGATTCAAACTTTCAGGATTTCATAACAAAACCAAGGATAAATCGTCTCAGCTCACACGGTGAGGTTGTTTTGTTATTTTTCTGCAGGATCGGTTCAAACATGCATGCCTGCATTATGGCAATATTACAACTTGTCATTGTGTAGTGTGCAGTGGTTTTATAGCGTTTGAGCAGAGTTGTATGTGAGCTGGTGCGCTTGAGCTGCAGTAAGTAGTGAATGGGTGAATGGAGAGGGTGGCAGGAACTTCATAGATCTGCACATTGTCTCAAAAGCAAAAGGTGTAGAGTAGCTTTTAAGTCATCTAAAGGCAGGAAGGGATTAAACTCATGGAAGAAAAATTCCAAATATGTAAAACAGCGATGAATCTTCAGGGGTTTAATCAATGACCAGAGAGGGACTTTATAACTGTCTGTCAGAAACCTATAAAACTATGAATAATAACATTGTTTTGGGAAATGCAATCTATGGAAAACATACACTGGCATGTGTCACGAACAGAAAACTTACCAGAAGGTTACAGAACATTCTCTAGAAAAATAAATTTCTTTGCTGCAAATAAACCAGAAGATTCGAAGAAAGAGAGAAAGAACTGTTACGAATAACAAAATAGTTCACTTTAAAAGGGTCAGGCAGGACACCATGTTCAGCCGACAGCTTTTATTGACCGCACTGTAACACAGAGATGGACCCAAAATATGACAAACTGTAGCTTCAGTCAGTTCAAACAGGCCAGAACATACAACATGTTGTCTCTGACTGTTTGACAGGAAATGAGGAGTTATCTGTAAAGATATTGGTTTAGATCTAAAACACATACATACTGAACCAGTGACTCACTGCATAGTCTCCTCGTTCACTCTCTCTCTCTCTCACACACACACACACACACACACAGATAGACAGATTTATGAGATAAGCAGCAGTCCTATGCAGCTCCATGCAGGTACAGAGACAGAAACTTGTTGAATACTTCAGGCTTGTATCCTGACAGACCAGCTGGTACCTGCAGGGAGACACAGAACAATCAACCACAATCACTGCATATTCACTGCTGTTCTTTGCTTCTCCTTCTAACAGGTAGTCAACAGTTAACACTCAAATCATTCAATTGGTTGATTTCTATTGCACCAATTCACAACATATGTCATCTCAGGGCAGATTACACAGCAAGGTTAAGACTTAACAATGTTATATTATATAGACAAACCCAACAAATCTCAGAGATTCCCTTTTAGCAAGTGCTCTGTGACAGTGGGAACAAACTGCCCAACAAGGGCAGACAGCAGTAACAATATTTTTGGTCAACTGGAGTTTTAACCTGCATCTGACTTTCTAACATCTGTTCTAAATAGAAAAATACTTCAAAGAAATGTCTAATTTTTCTGTCAAAAAAATGCAGTAGCTACAAAACAGACTTTAATATCAATATAACCAGTAATGGGATAATTACAAACCCTGTTCTTGTCTACATGACACAAAAAAATCCATTTTTCTTTGTGTCAACAGACTTGGTCAAATGAATATTTCCATCTAAAAAATCAATTCATTGCAGTGGAATTGCTGCGATTAGTGGATTTGGACCCAGGGTTCACCTCTGCCACATGATTTGTGTTGTTGAATGCAGCTGGAGAACCAAAAATCAAAGAACTTTGCTTTGCTTCCAGATGTGTCACTTAAAGGACTAAACTGCTAAATTGAACTCGGGGACACATGAGATGATTTTTCCTTCCACACACAAGTAGCCAGTACCAATAAACACTATTACTGAAATAACAGCGATGGAACCAACTGCTTCAGCTCCCAAGTCACCATGCAATGCAACATTATCTATTTGACAGCCACAAACTAGAACCCAATCTGTCCTAATGACAGAACAGATGATACATCTTTGAAGTGAATATCTTACCCTCACTTGCTTCTTCTTGATATATGGTCTGATTTTTGCAAAATCATACAATTCAACATCGTCCTCCAGCCACAGCTGCAAGAAGATGAAAGCGTTAAAGAAAAATATCAGGTAATAATGAAAAAGAGACTACAGCTATTGACTATGCCTCTGATTTCAGTGTTTAAAGGAGGCAGAAAGACTGTTTATGACTAAAAGGCATTTTGTCTCTGAACCACAACACTTTCACTCCAGAAAAAAAGCAGGATCGTGTTGCACCAGCCGTAGACTTTACATGAAGGTGATGCTGCACAAATGAAAATGATTTTTTGAGACTGTTGAAAACTGAGAAAAACGAAACCTCCACAGGTTAAAACTTCAAAATAGAAAGAGCAATGTAGTTTAATGTAACGTGTAATGTACAGAAATGTGATCGGTTATAGCTCCTGTCACTGTTTGTTTTGAGGTTTCAGTTTGGTGAAGGTCTCTTGATTGTTTTCTCACCCTATTGTTGGGACTCTCTAACACATTAGAGCCGTTGTCCTACTCTGACTGTTGATCTGGAAGACGGCTTCATAGAATAAGCTTCATCCAAATAAACAGGAAATGCATATTGAGCCAGCATGTGCAACATTTTTTTTCTACTCTGCCTTAATTGACATGACATAACATTGAGTATCTTTAATTGTCTCGCATGCGCATTCAGCTCACCTGGTTCTTGATGCCATCGTCTCCTGAGAGATCTGTGGTGTTGAGCTGGAAAACCAGAAACTGGAAAAGTCTACCGTTGGTCCCGATTGCCTGCACAGTTATGGGACGATCTAATAATTGCTGGGGCTCCGTCTGAAACACACACACACGATCAGGATTTATATCAAACTGTGTAATTAAACAGAGCTACGACAGTGATCCGCCTGGTTTAGAGACTGCAGTCACTTTTCACAGAGTTATATGTGTATGTTTTGTTGTTTATCCTTACCCCATACAGTTTGTGTGCACGGGCCAGAGCGTTTCCAAAGCTGAACATGACCATCTTGGCTCTGAACTGGTCTGGGCGAAGTATGCAGCGAGGATCGGCTGACTCCAGGAAGTAAAGGGTGTGAGCGTGAGGGTAAGGGTAGTTACCTGTGAAACCTGATGAAATGCAAGAGATGGCATTAAGTTAGACTGAAGACCGTTACAAAGTGCACTGTTTCATGCAGTATGCACACAACTGGGACAAACTACTTTGTCATATTATAGAACCTTAAGCTTTGACTGGGCTGGAGTCTATCCCAGCTGACTCAGGGCAAAGGCAGGGGACACCCTGGACAGGTCGCCAGTCTATCACACAACCAAGCACAGTCACATTCACACGTCTGGACAATTTAGAATCACCAATTAACCTCAACATGTTCTTGGACTTGCGGGAGGAAGTCGAGAACCCAGACCTGCATGGGGAGAACATGCAAACTCCACGCTGAAAGATCCCGGGCATCCTAACTGGGAATGAACCAGGGATCTTCTAGCTGTGAGGCAACAGTGCTAACCACCTTGTAGTCCTCTGTCAAATGTGTTGACACATAATAAATCTTTTTTTTGAGCTGTACAGTACTGTAGTATGGATATTAGAACGCAGCCCTGAACTCAGTAACTACCAACAGAGCAACGCTTCTGAAAAATGGGACTGAGCGTCTCCTCACCTGTGCAGTTCACATCCTCTTTGTACACGTGTACTTGCTGCAGGTCGATGGTGGGGGAGACGGGGTGGAAGGTCTCCAGGACATGATCTGCTGTTTCGGACACTTCATTTTTCCCAGAAACCTCTGGGAGGGGATCCATGCTGTTATGCATTATACCGCTCCGACCTCTAATCTGGAACAGGTCCTCACCTGGTGCACAAATATAAAATGGAAGTTAATCAGAACATGTGCGCCATTAACTGGCTGCATATTTGACTTAGTCACATCTAGTGGTAACAGGCAGCCTGCTAAACATGAGTAAGTGAGTTTGTGACTGAGTGATTTAAATGCATGACTGTACAACACCTCTTTTCCATGTGGCTGCCAATGAGTAGTCCTCTACAAGAATCCTTCTTCCAAGTGCGGGATGACTGGACTGTAGAGTCGCACACAGATGGAGCAGGTTGAGGAGCAAAGTGTTGCTGAGGGACGAACACACACCAGAAGTGAGAGAGGTGAGGCTGAGACTTGTCACATACAGTTAAACTGTTTTTAATATCCCTGCCTGTTTAAGAGCTTTGTTGAAAGAACTAAAAGTAGGAGTTTATTGCATTTTTATAGGAATTTCCTTAAAACTGAAACTTCCTGATATTGTACTATACACCATACTGACAATACGGTGTAAAAATTTTAGACATAAAACGAGCTGGGCTTAAGCAGCACCATATCACTTTGCGCAAAGCTGAGGTTGTTCCAAGCGTTTTGGAGAACCTGCCACAGTTACGGATTTAGTCTGTCTCAGTGTGTTCTGACTCTTCACTTGATCTCAGATGGACTCCACAAAGAGGGTCACCTTCATGAAACATCCTGAGGGCAGAAGTTGCTCCAAACTGACTGAGTTAAGAGAAACTACTAAAAATAAAGGACACTAAAAGACAAATGTTTTTTGACTTACTCATTCATTCATTCATTCATTCATTCATTCATTCATTCAGATGTGTTCTTGATGGTCTTATGAGCTGGATAAGAATTTAAACATCTGAGGAATCTAAGTCTTTTGCTCAGTGCTGCACACCAACAAAGGATTGCATCACTATCATCCACTATTATTGGGAGCCATGAGCTTCAATGTTTGGGACTAAGCAGAGAATAACTGAAACTGAGCCGACTGTACACATGTATGGCCATCCTACCAGTATCTCTCTTTAGATGGTCGGTGCTCTGTTAAGTCCCAGAAACGGGCATGTTTGATGGCGTTCTGCACACGCTCATCCTGATTTGGTAGCTGATTTTCAGGACTCTCTGCCAGTGAGAGGAGATGAGGAGGAAGACTAGGAATCAGTTTGGCTTTAGTCAACCAGGCAGCCTGACGCACACCTGAGAGACACAGAGAAGGAGAGAGATGACAATCAGATCACAAATCAACCCTGGCATTAAGGACAAACAATATGCACAAAAATAAAGAACATTTGGATTATTTTAAAAGACAGTGCATTTGCAATATGAATCCTAGTCTTAGTGGGAAGGGTAACTTTCATATTTCTTTTTACCTGAAAAAAAACTGAAGGATGAAGATGTGACTTTTGCTGCGGTGTGTATCAAACCATCACACTCGGTTACATGTGGAGAATTGGATTCCACATCAACAATTCTTGGACCACAGATTTAATGTGATGCACTTATGATGGCATATTGTGACACATTTATAGTGACATCCACCAGGACCCAGGATGATTATTATTCTTGTTGTTGTTATGCTGCATTTAGGCTTTTCATGCTTTTTAATTGTAAGACACCGGCGTGATTTTGCACTCTATGTTCTGCCAGCTTGATTTGCACATTATGTTACTTATTTTTCTTTCATGTAACATGTGAAGCTACTGAACACCTTGAATTTTCTAAAGGGGATTTTAAAAAGCATCTATCTATCTATCTATCTATCTATCTATCTATCTATCTATCTATCTATCTATCTATCTATCGCAGCTCCTACAATATGGAAATTGGACGTAGCGATATTGGATTCAGCCAATATCGGTTAAATGTTCAGGCCTTCCTTTAATATAATTTTAGATGCTGAGAACTTCTTCACTTTGATTGTGGTCACATTAGTGTGTCTTCAACTATAATGTGGACATGTAAAGTTTTCTCTTTTTATTGCTTCTAAATAGTAAATCATGGTCCCTTTACTTTAAATTGTGGGTCTTTTTTGGTGACCAGCAAAGGTGCACAAATATTGTACAGGCTGGTGGGATATTCAGTCCAATAACTCATTAAGCATCAGTTGCATTAATCACATGTGATGTGTAATGATGGACCTCATGTGTGACCAACGAATACTGGTTTGTTTTTACACAACACCAACTTGTTTTAAAGCCTGCTGCAGCTCAGTCGGTTTACCTTCCAGCGGGTTGGTCCTCTGGTTGAACACATAACACGGCTTCTCTTTGTACAGCGGCATCTCACGAGCAGGAGGAGCCGTGTAATATCTGGGGTCCTTGTAGTCTCTCTCCCACCGCGGATAAGTGGGCTTAGTCAGCCCCGGCACAAAGTGCATCCTCTCCCCGTACGTGACCATCTCCAGCCCGGGGATCTCCACCCTCTCCCTGGGTTTCCGCGGAGGGGGGATCTTGGCAGTCAGACAGCCGCTGACACCGAAGTGTCTCCGGGCCTGCAGGCTGCCGGCTCCTCCATGTGGACACAACCGTCTCACGTCCCTCAAGAAGCCGGTTTGAGAAACCAGCGGAGCCGCCGTTTTGAAACGTTGAACCGTTTCTGGAAACATGTTTCCTTCTGTTCAGCTTCTCATTCAGTTTTGGAGAATAAATGCGGTACTCTGACCTCCTTCATCGCCTGTCAGTAACTGCTGCTACAGGGCGCCGCCATGTTGGCTCTTCTTCTACTACTTCCTGTTTGTGTTACTGGTGAATCACAACCCGGCTTAGCATTATCGCCCCCTACTGTTGGTTTATGTTCTTGTTATTTGCCCTGTTGGTTGTAAATTGGTGAAGATATGATCTAAAACAGCCTTTTCAGACTTTTTGCGACCAGTTTTAGGGTCCATGTGTTTGATAATCCTCATATTTTCAAATGCAGTCCTTCTGACTTCTTCTATGGCATTTTTTTGCAGTAAAGGAAATGCAGAAGAGTATGGAGTGCACTTGAGAGGTTACAAGAGGAACTATCCCAACAACGTCTTGAAGTTTGAAGTAGGTTCTAGGTCTACACTGGGGTGTCTACACAGATGTATATACCCAGAAAACTCATTTCAACCATATGTATTCACAACCTAAATTTTTCAATGTATACCCAGAGATCACGACCATAGGTGAAGGTTGGAACGTAGATCGACTGGTAAATCAAGGTTGATCCCTCTTCACCATGATGGTCCAGGTCAATATTCGTATTATTACTGATCAATACATCTGTCCATTTCACAAGACATTGTCCTGTTGCTAGTAGACAAGATCCCGAGATACTTAAACTACTTTGCATGTGGCATCAGCTCCCTCTGAACCCAGAGCAAGTCACCTGTTTCTGGTAGAGAACTTACGACCACAACCCCATGAGAATGTCTGATATCATCTGATTTCTGAAGCTCAGCAGTGTTGGGCCTGCTTAGTACTTGGATGGTGGACCAACTAGGTCAGAAAACCAAGGGGCAAATGAAGGAACTTCCATGTATCTGGCAACTAGGAACTACCTTGTCCAGAATAGGGAGATTGGGGCTTCTTTCTGGAACAAGACTCAGAAATGGAACTCAGCGGTAAGCATCTAGTGGTCGAGTCTTGGCAGAAAGGGCTTGAAAGCTACATGGTGCCGTTACCCACAGGGATAGAGACGGTGGTTGGGTGCTGTGTAAACTGGGTGGTAGTCAGGAGCAGGTAACCAGGTATGGTGACCCCTGATGGTGCAGACTGGTTGTTGGGACATGGATAATACAGTTTAAGATGTTTTATTGTTATACTTATCTAGTTTGATAGCATTACATACAACAAACATCCAAAACATTTAGCTCCAGTTGTATTTATTACCTCACTACTGAAGTGCCACCTGGTGTGTGAACATCAGCACCAAAGCTTTTGCAGCAAGTTATGTTAGAACAAAACAAGTTCTGAATCAGACAAATGCAACTCTTAAAAGCACTGGCAACATTTAAGATACAAATACATAGAATTAGAAGTATGCAGGTGATACAAGTTGTTTTGTAATTTATAAAAACAAAATAATAATAATTGTCTGAGTGCAGCATGTGTACATTAAAACCTTTTACATATATTTACGAAAAGCCTAAAATATGACATTTCTGTGATGTAGCACAAAGCAAACAATGCAACTGACATTTAGAATTTCTCCAAGAAAGCAGGAGCATGAACATTTATTCTTGGAGCTGTGTCATTGACTTAAAAGATAAAGAATACAGAACCTAAAAAAAAAAAATGTAGTTAATGTTTTAGAAGTGAGTGGTAGACACAAAGCTTTGTTGTGGAGAGATATCTAGATATCTGGATCCTTCTCCTCTCATCCTCTCTTGCATTTTACAGCCAGGGAGGCCAAGCTGAGGAGGAGGATGGCAGTTTTTCCCAGAAGCATCCAGTACCACATCTGACCCTGCAAACCTACATGGACGCAGATGGATGAGAAATGGGCCTTTAGTTACATAAAATCTCTCAGAAGCAAAGCTGCAGGAACATACACAGAAATGAAATGCAGCAGAGTCAGAGGGAGTAGTGCTGAAGAAGAAAGACACGGCATGTAGACTTAATAAAAGACTGCACTATATCCTGATCTGTTTCAGTGTGGGTGTCTTTCTCCTGTGCAGGAGGGGTGGGGTTGGCTACATTATATGTTTGGCCTTTATGTAGTCTTTCATTCATTTATTTATTTACTTACTCAGTGCAGTGGAGGATGGAGGAGGGGCTAGAAGTATAAGCAAATAAAAGCAAAAATTATTTTCTATACAATTTTATTAACGCCTAACACACCAATCAGGCACAACATTAAAACCACTGAGTTGAAGGTGAGTAACACTGATCATTTATGATGCAATGTCATGCTGAGAAACTTCAAGTCCTGCACTTATGTGAATGCTACTTTACAATGTACCACCCACCTAAACATTGTTATAGATAAATAAAATCAGTGAAAGAAGGTTGGTCAGATGTAGTTCTCTCATATAATTTAGGGAAAGTTCTGTCTTTGGGGGCAAAAAATGACACACGATGACCACAAAACAACCACAAAGTTAGACAATGTGAGCACAAACCTGCTGCCCTGCTGGGTTCTTGGCTGTTGTCACACCGTGGAGGGCTTGGTGTGGTCAGAGCAGATGTTCTTCTTGTCAGGTTATCTGGAGAGAAGACAGTTAATCAATAAATATAGAAACAGTAAATCATTTCTTGACTTTATTGTAGTCGAAATAACTCAAGCAGCTTCCATCTGTCTCTTAACCTACACAGTAAAGAAAGGCCTCTGGAAAAAAAAAAACTGTAAAAATGTGGCAGCAAGGTGCCAAAAAAAAACATTTAAAAAATGATGGAATACAGTAACATTTAAAAACTGTACAAAAAGAAGAAAAAAAACAAGGACATTTTTACACGTCACATCTTGTAAAAGAACAAAATACCATTTATAAAAATGCAGATTTTTGATGTGGACATTATTTACAGTTCTCTCGCCCCAATCTGAGATTTTTTATTTTTTTTTACAATTCATATGTAAATTGATATTTTTAATTATAAAATAAATTAATAAATATTTGAGCTAGTTTCAGAGGCAGGGTTGTGTCAAGTAAAACTTCACATGAAACTGAATTTTAATTTGGAAAATGCCACCATGAAATAAATGAAAACAAGAGCAAATACATTTTTAAAAATCTAATGAAATATGAAATAATATTTTACAGTCGACTGTTTGAAGCATTTCTCTGGTTATTTGAAAAAACACACCTTACCTGAAATCTGAATCTGTATGGAGGGGCTGATCGTATCAGGCGGGTGGGTCATGCAGCAGTAGCTTCCAGCGTCTGCCTTTGTAGCAGACTTGATATCCAGGATCAGGGTCACATTGGGCAGGATGGAGGTGACATTGACAAGGGATGCTTTGTCCTAAGAGACAAAAACAGTGAGAGTGACGTGGGTGAAAAAGAATCACCACTGTCAAAGGAGGAGGTTGAAGTCAGTGACTCTTTATTCAGCAGTGCATTGACTCTCACACAACACAGGGTCATGGGAGAGCAGTATTTATATTCTTCTTATCATGCTACCTGTGGAGGGGAAAGTTCTCTCTGCTCTGGACAGTTTGCCTTTGTTTTATCATGGGAGGATTGTTTCTGTTTTGCCCTGCATCATTAATTTCTCTTTCACAGGAATGTGGTTGACTGTGGTGGGAGTGTAACTTCCTGCATCAGTATCTCTCGAAGAACTCCTTCACATTCTTAAAAATTAATAAAACAGAATAACAATCCTCAGTATTTTTCCATCACAGACTTGACTCAACACCAAGATGAAAGAGATTATACTCTTTATCAGATCACTGCCCTCTTTGGTTAGAACCGATAATTCCATCCAGTGATGTCGGAGTGCACTGACACACTCTGGACTACACGGCTGTGGTCATGTAGTCAGAAAAATTAGGATTTGTGGCTTTTCCTTGATCTCAAAGGAAGGATCAAAGAAAGATGTGAAGGAGAATTCACAAGGATCTAGACAACCGTGGTGCTTGGAGAATCCGACAGCACCGACACAAAGGCAGATGTTGCTGACATCTGTCTGCTACGGTGTAACTACGACAAATATAAACTTCCTCAAAGTGCTTCTTTACTTTGCTCTGTGTATTTTTGTTTTGTTGTTTCAGATATAAATGTGGACAACCTGGTGAAACATATGAGACTGTAGCTAAAAATTGAAAACGAATACCAGTCACACAAATGGAGCTAAATTAGAGTAACTGGGAGTCATACATGTACTTGGTTTTTCTCAATGTTAACAAGTTTTCTAGCTTGTGTATCAGTGATCACAGGAGTTTTATCTTCTGCTACACTGAACTTCTACTTTGGGGTCTGTATAATTAATATAGTCATTCTAAAGTATTTGTTTTTGATTGCTCTTTGAAATAATGCAATTATTAAGAGGTGATGTAATTCAAATCAATGTTTTGCACAGGGCTTCTCTCACTTCTGTTGTACTCTGTGCTTTCCTGTCATTTAACTCAGATATGAACCTTTCTGAGGAATCAAGGACTATTCGAATGCCACCCATGTCTACATCCCTACAAGACGGTGAGAGTTGATAACTTGCACTCTAAAAAGTCATCCAAATATCTATTCCCACCACTGAATCAAGTACATGGGTGCTAAATGACTGACTTAGATAAACTATTTAAGTTGCAAACATTATTCCGATGGGGTGTTGACACAATAATGTTGCATGAACTTAATATTGTGCGTAATTTAAACTCAAATTTCTGCTTTACTTAGTTTAAAACTGAGTCCAAGATAAATCCAGGTTATTGGCTCAGGTATCCTCCTCTATCTTAACAATTATTGGACAATTTTAGACAATTAAAACTAGTAATTATAAAGGACAAGCTAATTCCCCTAATTCAGCATTGACTGAACATCATTTTTTCAGAAGTTGTCATAACTCAGTAAGACGGATGCTTTTCATGTTGAGGCGACATATTTATTTTTAGAGTTTCAGCTGTTCCAACGTAACTGCAACAAAGAACACAACATTGTACTTTTGATCAATATATTGTTTTTTTTTTCATTAGATTGAATACAGATTTGTGACATCAGTGTGGGCTGGACACATTATCGTGAACATCCATCATTCATTTGGTTCGATTGCAAATTGTTTGATACAAAAGACTTTCTCTGTGGTCACTTAATCCAACAGGAGTTCGCTAAATAGCTCCTGAGCCAATCCAGCTCGTTAGATAACTGGGCAGACAGCATTAGCAGGATTGTTTAGCTAAGATTAAAAGCTAAAGAGGTTTAGTTTCTGTGTCTGTGTACACATTTGCTTTGACATTGTTGCAGCTCCAGGTGACTGTCCAGGTGCATTTGACAGAAACGATCGAGCTTGCAGGCTGAAGAAAACATGATTATGAAAAGCGACTTTGCATGAAATAAGAGTGTATTTGCGTAAATGACATTACATAAACAAACCTTTAAAAAGGAAGGAGCATTTTAGATGAAAATGCTCGTATTAATATTATCATAAGTCTTATTTAATTTTACTTTGAATAGACTCAACAAAAACTACATCTTATCAAACTGATAACTTAGTAATTAACAATCACATGTGCCGCATTGAAAACAACCATCCATGACAACAAGAGAACAACATTGAAGACTTTGTGGCATAATCTGCATCCCATTCCATTTCAGTGTGTGAAAGAGCATAATTAGTGCCGTAATGAATGATAACTGTCAAGAAACTCTTAACAAACGTTTGAAATACCTCACGCCCGCATTGCCTCCACAGCTGTGCCACATGTTTGGCTCTCAAACAGGTGAACTCACAGCTCAGTTTGAAGGCCTCTCCAGCTGGAAGCACCATGTCATCTCCAGAAATACTCGCTAGAGGTCCACTGCAAACACCTACAGACACAAAAATACAACTGCTTAGTTGAAAAATATATAATCCACACAGTTCTGTTGAGTGTAAAGAGCAATTCTGGATTTTTGTTGCAGACTCGTTTGCTCAGAGTTGAAGGTCGAGTGCTGCCGGTTTTCATGCTGAGAGACAATGCATGCCTGAAACACATATAATATATAGAATATAGATTGGAAATGCTGTCAGGTTTTACAGTATGTTATTGGGTAACAGAGGGAGTTTGAAACATGTAAGTGCTGTCAGTTATTTCAATGAAAGAGCTGAAAAGTAGCATGTTTTCTGCTGTAAATATTACGTATTGTCTTCGGCTGTTTGTTGATGATTAGCATAGATCAGGCAAAAACCCTGACCGGTACTGTAACCAATCAAATGTTTTATTCCCTATATATTCAACATATATCCTGCTAATGTTCACAATGAGGATGTTCAGATATATTTCAAGAGTACAGGGAAATTGTACTATGTTGCTAAATTTACTCTCTTCTTTTGTCTCATTGAAATGTTTTGATCTCAAATTCAAATGGATCTGCACATATACTGTGCGCAAAAGTATCTTAGACTATATACATACTGTATATTTAACCCTCCTATTACCTTCAAGTTTACTGACATCTTTTATCCTTGGGTTCAATTTGAGCCCAGCAATTTAATCCTCCAGAAAATACCATAATTAAAATTGTTACCCAAGTTTATGTGTAAATAGCCCTTTAAATAAAACAGAAAAAATTATGTCAATGACTTATTTAGAGACGTATGTTAAACACTGAATGGGGTCAAATTGACCCCGAAGATAACAGGAGGGTTAAATATGTAGATGTGGTCCACTTTGAATCAAAGTCATGACTGTGTAAAAATTATATTTGTATACTCTGTAATGTAATGCATGTGCAATACATTTTCTCAGTTTGTTTATGAATATATTGGTTTATAAAGGTCTTTTTGCATCGTTTCTGAGTTCTCCTCAGCACTAATTTAATTATTCTGCTTCTATCACAATTAATTAATTGTCTTTATTATCTTTTTATATTTCTATTTGTGTATTTTTTTTGTTACTGTGTTTAATAAAGACAAAACAACTCTTCATTAAATCAGTTGCCATCATCTTCTTATAGATTACAGCGACTGAAACTCTCACCTTCAGCTTGAGTCCAGCACAGAAAACCGATCACCAGAACCAACATGTCTGCTCCGTCTCTCATCCTTTGTGTATCCTGCCCGTCACTGTCAGCATGTGGACGTCTCTGGTTTCTGTGCTGGTTATATTTCACACTGACATGTACATAGAGGGACTGTAAGACACAAGCTGCTGACATAGGTCCCAGACAGGATGCACACCTCTGCAGTTCTGGGTCGATGGAGGCTGCGATACCCAGAGCAGGAAAGGTTTCTGCTGATAACACTGACCATAACACCGTCACCGTGATCTCACCTGCAGATGTGGGAAGCACGGTTTTCAAAAATCCCCACGTTTGCTGAAAGGTACAAAGTAGAAAGCACGCTACAATGAACGCACTAGCACGATGGCAGGAAACCTTTTGTTGTTTCTATCCAGGACGAGGTCAAACAAGGCAACAGTACCAATGCATTTGAATCTGAGCCATGAGGACACTTTACTTCACATTTAAATATAATATGTTTGAATGATTTGTAAAAACATACCAAAAAGTTTAATGCCAACAAAAAAAAAAATCCACTCAACTGAGTTTGTTGCACAGAAGTACCCATGTGTCAAACATAAACCAAAAATAAAATAAAATCCCCACAAAAAACACTCGTCTGCACAGTTCATTTTGTGTATTTGTAGCTGCTTTAAAATGGCTCCAAGTAACCTTCCTGACTTGTTCAAGTCAATGAGTTGCTTTTTTAGATCTATGCGGAGCTCCTTAGACTTTCTGACTGTAGTGTTTGTGGCTGAGTCTGAATTGTGCATCATTTGGGACCTATTTAATTTGGCTCAGAAGATTCAATTCAGTTGTGATCACTCGTGAGAAGTTAAGGGAGACCTGTATTAAATGCATGAAGGAGCAAAAATGTCTGATTATTTTTTGTGACAAAGATGCTTGTGTCTCAGTGATTCCAATGTCTGAGTTGTAGAAGTAATTGAAAATTCCAAACTGTGATGATGTGAATGGCCTTTACAAGTGTGTGTAAACTTTTGTTCATGACTACAAGTACAATACATTATTAAAAACAACATTAAGTGAGCTGAAATAAGACTAGAATATACAAGTTAACAGTAACACTGGATATGATTGTGAAAATGTAAAGTAATAATTCACATGCTGAGGAAATAGTGCATATGTGACTGAAATATTGCACATTAGATTGAAATATTACACATTATGAAACTAATGTTGTATAAACTATTGAGAAAGTTATTTAAAACAAAATAACATCGGTATTACTGTTCAGATTTAGGTGTCCTGTGCTTGAGCTGTCCAAAAAAACATGCAAAATTATATTAATATATGTATAAGTATATAAAATATGAATGTTAATTACTCCAAATACTTTTGTGTCCTAAAACTGATGATATATAAAAGACTTTCATTTCCAAGTTATGTCTTTTAGAATACATAAATTGCACTACTGAGCCAGTACATAAGTGTAACGCAGTAAAACACACATATACACACTCACAGGGATCGGAGAAAGTCGCAGACAAAGTAAAATCAACTTTTGTTCACAAATCAAAGTGTGCGTGGCCCCCTGTCACGCACACCGCGCAGATTTCGTGTGGATATTCTCCACAGCAGTTTACGCCAACTGCCTGCGCTCTCTGCGCAACACTGATCCACATCTACGCAAACTGCGTTAGCGCTCAGTGTCGAGGCTTTTCAGCTGGTTAGCCAAACATCCACAGAAAAAGAGATGAGCAGGAAAACGAGACGAAGAAAACGACAACAGTTTATTCCGAGCTAGAGAAATAGCGACATAAAGAAAATCAATTTAGGTAGGTGAAGTCTTTTTCTAAAAAGTTTGTACAAATACGTCTGTAAAATGAACAAGCTATGTTTATGAATGACTGTATGTATGGGCACAAATTCAGCGTTAGCCAACAGTGGCTAGTTAGCTAGCTGGCTAGCATGTTAGGCAACGTTAGCTTCTGCCAGGCTAAGTCTAGCTGCGACTACAGAAGCTAGTAAACGCTAGCTGACTGTCGGTATAACTCTCTAGCTAAACTATCAACTGTTTAATAATATTGTCATTTGTATTCTCTGATATAACTTCGCTTCACTTGCTACTGCGTTTTCTCCACTTCGGACTTGTTTCAATGAAGCTAATATTGTCAAGCTACACTCGGGCCAAACACACACACAAACTACTGTGGCCTAAACCTAACTTCCTGCGCTACCTACCTCGATAAATAGTTTGACGTGCTATAACACGTTAATATTAGATTTTCACCAACAGGCCTCCAGAAAACGTTTTGCAGCGACTACAGGAGTTTAGTTTTAACATTAAAGAGTCGCTGCTCCTCGAATGTTTAAATCTGCTGCAGTCGTATCAGCTAACGTTAGCTTCATTAGCAAACTGGAGCTGCTTTGGACGTCCACTCAAAAGCTTTCTATCCCGAAATGGACAACACTGACAGCTTGCGAAGCTCTGGGACAAATTTGCAGTCTTTTTAGGTCGGCTTTTAAATATTCACTAGTACTCCAACTCGTATTCAGAAATGAGTAAGAGGAGATGCAGCCAAGTTGATGATTGGAGTGTGGGTGGTGAGACGAGGCCATGTTGATACATTATGATAAGCTCTATTTCCCCCAAAAACCTCAACAGGAACTCTGATCAGCCTTCTGAAAAGAGCTTGAAATTAGCTGAGTGGTAATTAGGATCAAGGTTTTACTCCACAACTGTACTCCATGCACTCATTACCCACCTCGTTTTACTGTAGGGTGCCACTGATACAAAAATTGCATAGCTTAAAAGCAATTGTAAATGTTGTATCACACCTAGCAACAATTAATACAGGATGCTGTGGAGAGATAATGCAGAGAAGTGGTAGTTTGCACCTCATTTCACTATAGAGATACAACACCACCTTTAACCAGGGTAAACCTGGATGAGAGGTCATAAACTAATATTTATTGATGAACAGTTCTGCAATTCTTTGATATTGGCCCGCAGTGATAAGCACGCCCGGCTTAGCGAGACAACATGATTACAGCCAAGGTGAAGATGATCCTGTTGGTTTTAAATCATCACTCAGGAAGTTTACATATTGTTTTAGAGGAGGGTGTTGTGTATGCTCACAAGTTGCTGCTCAGGAGTCACACTAGGGATGAATGATTTGGTGAAGCTACCTATTTACAATTTTTATGATAGATATCGCAATTTGATTTGTTATATAATTTTTTTTAAAGTCAGGTCTCCCTCCAGTATTTGCTGTATACCAGATTTAAAACATATGATGGAGCATTACCACATGAGATGCAAGTGTGACTTTTGCACATGGAGGACAGCGTGAATTTGTCAAAGCATCGACAGAACAGTTTCAATCCTAAAGTGTATCATAAATTGTGGTATTTGTAATTTGCCAATTACATTGTTTTGAATTCTGATTTGAAATAGATTAATTCAGTACTACTTCCCACAGACGTCACTCAAGCCAAACCAGAAGTTAGTTGGGACAATGTAAGCTTTCATGTATGTTACTGCTTAAGAAAATGACAGTAAGATCATTACGTCACTTTACATACATCAAGTAAAATCAAGCTTACAGTAGTTTCCACTTATTAGGAATGTAATTAATGTTGTGTTTGTATCTTATAGGTGCAGTTTTTTTGAAATGCCATAGTAACACATTGCTCGTACGTCACAGGTGATGTATTGGGTTCCAGTAGAGGAGCAGATTTGACTTTAACATTTAAAGGGGAATTAGAAGTAAATTGCATATTTAAGAAACTGTTCCTGTGCATCAGCTTTCTAGTCTTGTGGTGAAACTGTTGAGCCTGTTGTTGCAGTTGCTTAGTAATTGGGGTCAGGTTTTTAGCCTGCAGCAGGCTGTGCAGTAGATGCTGTTGCCTGTGAGGTGTCATGCAGGTTAGTGGGTGTAATAAACCACTAAACTTTCACTGCTTAGCTTCATGTTGTCAGACAAGAGGAGACAATGACACAAAACATTGCAGACAAAAACTCAGTGTCGAATACCAGGATTGATTTTAGTAATTAACAAATACTTACTTCAGTATCTTTATTGTTTTATGTGCTAAAAGTAGCTATATTTTCCCATTTAGTTTACAGTACAGCATTTTTGTTTTTGTTTGTTGAAGGATGTAAATATCATGCACAGGTGAAATCATGACAACATAGCAGTTGTTTAGTGACCAGTTTTTAGTGCACTAAGTAGATGTCATTAACTAAAGCTTTGGTCAAACCTGTGTTTGAGTGAAGGCCTCAGTCTCTCAGATGTTATTCATACAAGAGTTGCAAACTCCTCTTTTAGCTGAGGCCATCATGTGTGGGAGTGAATGTGCCTCTTGCTGTGCGCAGGCCTAGCCCTCTCTCATATATGGCCTATAGAGCAGCATTGATTTTTGCTGTGAGTTGCTCAATCTGACTGAGGCCTCTGTGGGAGGGTAAAAAAAAACAATGTTTGACCTGCTCCAGGGGGTGTAATTACAGGCATAGATCTAACTTCAGCTGGGACAGAATGTTTTTATGATTATATTATGGAATCTGATTGTCACAAGTATTTCAAGCCCATTTGTTCAGTTTCAAGCAGCCTTTTTCCCTCATTTGATAAATTCACCTGTACACATTTCTCACACAAACAACAGGTTCCGGTTCTCAGGCAAAGAGCTGATGCAGCTGCACTGTTGAGGGTGGCATCACACAAAGATGTCTTTATAGATTGGTATCAGTATCAGCTTTTCTTTTTTTCTTCTTTTTTATGCATTCAGCAACTGTTATTGGTGACAAATATCCTGTGTGTGGTTTCTAGAGTTATAGTGCTTTGATGGAATTAGAATGTCAATATCTGAGTAGACTGTGATCAACCTGGACAGCTGTCTGTATGAACACGGTGGTAGATTTGGACCTGGGGTGTTGTTGAGTCAGGAGAACAGTGGTGGGGGTCTACAAAATTCACTGGTACTTCCTGCATTGTGCAGCCAGGTTCGTGGTTGTACATGCTTTGTTATTGCACCTATAAATGACAAGCCTGATGCTCTTTCATGTACACATTATGATCTTAGTACTCCTCTTCCACAGAAGGGGCACGCCTAGTCAGTCATAGCTGAAATAGTTAGCCATTTGCAATGCGTAAAACCATAGCCCATACAGTGGCTGTGTAAAATACTTAAACCTTTTCCAGTTTGCCCAGCTAGCTATAACTAGCAACGATGATACTTTCTCCTGAAATTATGTGTAGAGTGCTTCATTCGCATGCAGTGAGGTCTGCGGTACGTTTGGCAGGGGCTGGGTTGTCGATATTTATGTTCTAATTTCAAGTGCCCCATAGGGAGCAAATACGACTTGTTGACTGAAGTATGGATGTCTCGACCAAGTCTATTTAATATTTATTCAATGTTAGAGCCCTTTGATATTACGTAGCTTCAATACCGAGTCTTAGATTTACCTAAATGTTGATTAGATCCGTATCTGACGCACAAAACTTTACAGCAGTGTATTTCACAAACAAGTTACCAACTTACTTACTGTGACGACATGCCTTCAAACTGTGATTATACTCCCTTCTGCATGCGCACACGGACAGCTGCACATACTAAGGACGTGTAGTTGTTGCTATTATATTACTTTCTAGTCCACTGGAGTCCATTGCATGTGTAATAGGTCATATCTGCATATTCTGCACACTACTGAACAGAAAGTGCACGACTGCCCTTGTAATGAAGCTCTGCACCACCACCGGCTCAGATATGATGCGTACTCTGCTACATGTGCTGCAGACAGTGCTGAGAGTCGTGTAAATGGAATCGGAATCACTCTGCAAGACAAACTATGTCAAGACCCCAGCAATACAAAGTCTAATGTCTGGAATACAAAAAGGCCTAAACAGATATGTCTGTGATTAGCCAATATCTCTAATTGAAACACTGAAGGCCCTGGTTTAAAACCATTAAGCCGATCAGCATAAATGATTGATAACTGATAAAAGTTTAAGTGGAAGACGTCTCACTCTGTTGGAGTTGTTGCGACAGTGGAAACATGAACATCTGGACCGTCCCTGATCCTTTTGAAGTACCAGTTCAGCAAAACACAACAGAAACCCACATAAAAAGGGTTTTTTGTCCTGATTTTCACAGTTCACATGTCACCGTGTCTCACGAGGGCTCACAGGTCAACTTATTCCTGTTAATGACATCAGACGAGATGCGACGACCCCCTCAGCTGCTATCTCAGACATTTCCTCTTCCTCTCCAGTGTTATCTGTCTTCTTCTGTGTCGTCTATGTCATTATCACAAGTAAGAAGTGGTCATGAACCTCTTGAGCAGCTGAACAATTATTTTGAAGCTGACTGATGGTTCTGGCAAGTAAAACACAGACCATCCTTCAGAACAGTCAGTACTTATGTCCAATAATGTGGTTAGTAGGTGTGTAATGATACACAGAAATGACAGTTTAGTATCTACCACAGTTTTGAAGTCACAACATGGTATGTTTTCGGTACAGCGAGGGAACAAGACGCAAAACATGAAACTCGTTCTTTCTTTCTTTCTTTCTTTCTTTCTTTCTTTCTTTCTTTCTTTCTTTCTTTCTTTCTTTCTTTCTTTCTTTCTTCAACAATGTTTTACTAAACAAAGTATAGCTGTGTCATGTTTAACCCTCTGAATACCGAGCAGTTTCTGGATGTTTCTTTGCCACTGTCACATTTTCACTCAGTGTGGGCTCAATTTTCACTGCAATATAAAATCCAGCACCTCTATGAAAACAGAGCAACCATGGCTAGAAGTAGAGAGAACTCAGAAATGTCTTTTGTGTGGTATGACAAAGTTATACTGCTATAAATCAGATTCATAAAAAGAAAGAAAAAACTGTGTTGAATTCCTTTGACCATTCATTTTACAAATACTAATAATATTCAGAAAAACTGCAATCAGCGTGTACAACATTTTCCCAAGTGCCCACAGGTGTTACTGACACTGGAATAAAGGTGGCTGTGCGTCCTATAGATATTTTTATACTTACATATTTAATTTGTTTCCATACTTGTGTCCAATCTGCTTCACATTAGGAAAGTGAAACAGTTCCAGCTTGCACAAAGATTCATTGTGTTTTATCTTTTTTTCCAGACAAATTAAATTTTCCATGATGTTTGCAGAAAAGGCACAGGCCCTAACAATGTGTCTTGCTGTGGAGAACACCTTGCTAAGGACAGAGGGTTCACATAGGTAGTGCTTTGCTAACATGGCAACATGGGGATATTTGGACTCACTGGTTCTCCACCATATAAGTGGAATCCAGTTAAGTGCACTCCACTATAATGTATGTAGGCTTGTTTCCCTCCTCAGTTGTGAAGAGCTCACCAAACAGTTGGGCCATGGCTCACTTCTTCATAGGAGCAGATGCTCTGGATTCCTCCTGTGTGCACTCTCTCTGGGGATGACATGGCTTCTGTTGTCTCTGTGGCCTCATCCTGCAGATTTAATGACAGAAATCATGCGATATTTTAAATGACATTGTAGCAGCAATAGAGTGTTTCAAATTAATCAATGTGGACATTGATGCCTAAAGTAAAACAAAGTCAATACCTGTTCTTCAATTGCCAGTGGTGAAAGATCCTTTGAGTTATTTTGGTCTGCAGCAATATTTAGGTGGGTGGTAAATGTCAAAGTAACTTCCACATGAATTCCAGGAAACGGCGCTTCCCAGCAAAACATTGCATTGTAACAAAATGATCCATGTTATTCGCTTCACTCGTCTGCTGTTTTTAAAGTTGCGACTGATTGATGTTTGATGTATGTAGGCATTGACAATATTTCTAGCATTGTCTGTTATTATTGGATGTGTGTTTCCTGGCCACTCAGACTTCCATTCTGACATTACATCCTTCAGCTGCTCTGCCAGATGTGTGCTGGTGTACTGTTTATAAACTAGGTGAGTTTACAGAACATGGCTATCCATGTTTCAGTCTGTTACTGTTAAGTAACTCTCGGTTCACTTATTGGTTGTGCGAGTGATGCCTTGGATAAGTTGAGGACACCTGGGCTGGTATGATTTGCTGGCTGAAATGCAATCGCACAGCCCTGCTATTTGCCTGTTTAACTTTACTTAAAATGATTTGTTGTCTGGCTAGTATTGAACCATAAAACCAAAGTGAAACTCATCCAGAGAAGTTTTACCATCATTTAATATTTAATGGTGTATGTCTAATTTGTGTTGCGTCTTCCGTCTGCATACGTGCATGCAAATGAACATTTTCCAGGAGAGCATGTAGAGAAAACGGGGGTCTTGAGAAGAGGTTAGAGATGTGAGAGGAGGAGGTGTGCAGATAGACTGGATGCAAACGGAAAGAATGGAGTGAGAGGAAAACTGAGAGGAGTGAAGGAATGAATTAGAGTAGCCAAGATGAGTGTTATTATTAGAAGAGGAAATCAGAAACACGAGAGAACATGTCCTGTCCTCCTGGAGGAAGATCTGGCCTGGTTTTCTGTTGCTGTCGGTTGGTTGCTGTTATGGATTTATGAACAGTGATTATATATGAACAGTTAAACTTCAAAAAATGTTGCTTAAGTTGTACACACGAAAGTTTGGTAGGTGTTAAAATGTAGGTACAACTTTGTTGCCTGCTCGTCCACCGTCTTAGTGTCTTTGAATTGCTGCGTACACCCATGAGTGTCTTTTCCTGTCGCAGCCTCAAAAAACTGAAGAGGATGCAATCATATTTGCTGATTATCTGATGACACTATTTCTGCATAATTTGCAAAAAAAAAAAAAAAGAACTAGTTGAATGTGGTACTTATTCGGAGGGGCAACACATACTTGAAGACAACTGGATTCCTCGCCAGGTGTTAGTTCAACACCATCATGTATTGGTCACTGATCAGGCAGTGAACATCCACTAACATGATTTTCCTTTCTAAATAGCTGACCATTTTGGGGCCATAGAACCATTTTGTCACTGTTGGACTTCCTGAGCTGCTCTGAATTGTCTCAATGTACTGTGTTGTATGAAAATATGGTTAAGTTTTTATAAAACATTTTTAATCTAATATTTTTTTTCTCTGTTTCTACAGGTGCTGCAACATACAGTATTCCTGCAACCAGGGGCTAAACCTGACCTGGTGTTTCATAGGACCAAGCAGCTGTGTGACACATTATCAGCCTCTGTGGGACATAGAACAAGTACAGAGGTCCAGTAATTATTGGGACACATGTTCTAAAGCTGTTTAGTTCTGACCTATGGCAGTAAATCAAACAACAAAGGTATTTTGTCATACATAAGTGTCAGATGTAAAAAAGGGGAGCATTTAAAGTCTCTCTGTTTTGTTTGTCTGTTGTCATGGTGGATTGTTATGTGTGAGCCTGAAGCTAGCATAGCTTCCCAGCTTCATATAGCATGTTAGCATATGGCTAGCTACGTATGGTGACATATTGGGCTATTATCCTTCTCCCCTCCATCACCATCTCTGGCCCCTACAAGGGGGTATAAAGTCATTGAAAAGAATCCCCCTCACCCCATCATCTTTTCATTTTATTTTTCATTCAGTCATTAACCACCATCCCACCGAAAAATCATCAGCTTTTGCTCCATCTTTGACTCTCATCAGCCCTCATCACCTTTATATTCTAACTATTTCGCTCAGTCTAACTATAGCCTGGTCCTTCATGAGATCCTCGTCTTCCGTTTGAATTCCTCCCACCTCCATCCCAGTTCATCCTATTCTTCCACTGCTCAGTTCCTGCCCTCTTTAAAGTCAAAGAGTGTGACCCTCTGTCAACCACCCCGACGTCTGTTAGGAAAAGCCGCTAGGCAGTTGTTTTGGTGGTTGTTTTGGTTGCATGGAATCGGCTTAACCGTGGAGAGGCCAGGCTACCACAAACTGATGGACTTTGACAAGCGAGGAGTAGGGGGAGGAGGGGGCGGGGGAGGAGGAGGTGGAGGTGGAGGAAAGGGCGAGGCAGAAGAGGGGAAGAGGATGTCTGGGAAGACGGGGAGCCGATCGGGACACGGCGGCCGGGGTGCCGGCTCCAACTCTGGGGTGCTGATGGTCGGACCAAACTTCCGTGTTGGAAAGAAGATCGGCTGTGGGAACTTTGGAGAGCTACGACTTGGAAAGAACCTGTACACCAATGAATACGTGGCTATTAAACTGGTAAAGTTAATTTCTGTATATCTATAGTTTTTAGCGTTGTAGGCAAACACAATTCATCTATTTAATATTGAGATCCCAATTGTCATTAATGTGTCTTTCAGCATAGAATATTTCACTTAAAAGTAACGGAAAATTCACATTGCATTTAAACTATTATGTAAAGTTGCTTGGTAGAGTATTCAGACCCCTTCACTTTCGTCCACCTTGTTTTGTTGTGTATTTAACTTTAAAAGATAAAATGGGCCTTTTTGACCACCAATCTGTACTCAATAACCCATATTAGAAACTGAAAAATGTTAAAAACAATAATCAGATTCCTAATTCAGTACTTTGTTGGATCCTCTTTGGCAGCAATTTGAGTCTTCTTGGGTAAGTCTCTGCAGGGTTTGCACACCTAGATTGGCGCAGTTAATCCCATTTTTTCTAACAGATCCCGTAAAGCTCAATCATATTGGATGGAAGCAGCTCAACCACCATCTTCAGGTCTCTCCACAGTTAGTCTGTGTGGTTTAAGTTTTACCTTTGAGTGGTTCACTCGAGGACAGTCAGAGACTTGGCCTAAAGCCACTTCACTGTCTTCTTGGCTGTCAATTGTCCCGCTGAAAGGTGAACTGTTGCTCCAGTCTCAAGTTGCCTTCAGTCTGGAGCAACTTTTTGGGGACCTCTGTGTGTTTGGCTGCATTCATCCTCCCTTGGTTCTGATCAGTCTACCTGTTGCTGAGAACAAGCCCACATAGCATGATGCTGCCCCCACCATGCTTCATTGCTGAGATGGTAATAGCAGGTTATGAGCTGTGCCTGTTTGGCAAACTGCAAACAAGCTGTCATTTGCCTGTTATTCAAGAGTGGCTGTCATCTAGCGTTCTGCCATAAAGGCTCTAGCACGTTCCCCTTTAAAGCTCTGTTGGAGGGACTGGTCACCTCACTGAGTCCCTCTCTAAGTCCCCTTTTGCTTAGTTTTTCGATTTGGCCAGACTGCCAACTCAATAAAGAGTCCTGGTGGTTCCAGGCTTCTTCCATTTGGCAGTTATTGAAGCTGCTGCACTCCTGGGAACACTCAGACCTTTAGAAATGTTTTTTTTACTCTTGAATCGATACATGCCTTGCCACAGTTTTATCACAGAGGTCTACAGAGTTCCTTGGTCTTCATGGCTTAGTTTTTGTGCTGACATGCAGTCTGGATTGTGGGACCTTACCAAAAAAGATGCACCTGACCACAATCTGGAGAGCAACAGCAATGGGTCTGAATACTTTTGTAAATGGTTTCAGTTTTGTTTTGTTTTTTTAAATTTACACAAATATAAGAACGCAACTACCATATGTCAAGTGTAGCTTGACGGGCAAAAATGGCAGTAGTATCCATTTAAAATTCAATCTGCATCATGATTATGCAAAAAGTAAAAAGTCTGAACTTTTTCTGAATTCACTGTATCTACAAGGTGTTTAAGTTTTGGTTCTGACTACACTCAGTGGCAGCATTGTCAGAAAAATGCTGATGACCTCTCAGTATTATGCATTTAATGTTGGTTCTTCACTGCCTCTGACGAGCTGTCATTCTAATTCTAATGCACTCTTTCCTTGTAGGAACCAATCAAGTCACGGGCACCACAGCTCCACCTAGAATATCGATTCTACAAACAACTGGGAAGTTCAGGTGGGAACTTTGCTTTTTTTGCTTTTGTTTTTGTGTTATTGTTAGAATTAGCCAGTTTTATGAAAGAAAAAATCATTAAAAAATTAGCAATAGAAGAGAAATCCTTGTACTTGTCATTGGTCTCTCAGTGTTTGACCTGAGGGAGGCATATGCAGCCATGCTCTACCTTTGTGTTTACTGTTTCCCCCCATTGTGCTGAAGCCCAGACCACCCAGCATGAGTTGTTTGTGTATGACACACCAATGCACGCATGATCATTTTGCTTGAGAATGTTAAAGTTTAGCTGTGTATGCATTCTTGACCTTGGAAGTAGGTTAACACAAAAGGTTTCTAGTAATTTTTTTTCCCCACAGCTTTCAACCAATTATGTATAACAAAGTATGTTTAAAAGTAAAAATTGTATTCATTATAATAACTTTAAGCATTCATAAAATGTGTAATGGTGTCAATTTGATGTGTTTTGACTGTGTTTTATCTTTTTCTACTCATTCACTCATCCAGAGGGCGTACCCCAGGTGTTTTACTTTGGACCATGTGGTAAATACAATGCTATGGTTCTGGAGCTACTGGGACCGAGCTTAGAAGATCTGTTTGACCTCTGTGACAGGACCTTCTCTCTAAAGACTGTACTCATGATAGCCATACAACTGGTAAGACAACAAACAGACTTCAAGTCACACTTGGAGTTTATTGTTAGACTTCCTAGTTTTGCTTCTGTAATTTACTCCATCTTCCTCTGTAGATAACTCGTATGGAGTTTGTCCACACCAGAAGCCTGATCTATAGAGATGTGAAGCCCGAGAACTTCCTGGTTGGCCGACCCGGCTCCAAGCGGCAACACACCATCCACATCATAGACTTTGGCTTGGCCAAAGAATACATAGACCCAGAGACGAAGAAACACATCCCATACAGAGAACACAAGAGTCTGACTGGAACTGCTAGATACATGAGCATTAATACACATTTGGGGAAAGGTGAGCTGCTTCATCCATCTGTTTATGCACATGTACAAAATGTGCTTTTATATGCAGTGCATGCATTTATTTATTAGGCTGGTTCATGGGTGTGTTACTCTACTTTTTGTTCACATTATGATCCGAGTGCTTTTCTTCCACAGACAGGCCCATCTGCAGCCATAATTTCAATACGTTAGTCTGTTGTCCATTAAAACAAGTGCAACATATTCATCATGAACTTCAATTCACCATCAAAGCCAGCAGTGAAATTTCAGCTTTCTGACTGCACAGAATAGCTCCCCCTTAATCTGTCTTAGTCAACACTGAGCACACAGCCATTTTGTTTTGCGTGAACTTTATTGAAATTATCAGTGTACAAAAGGTGCATGAGCTCCACATGGTGGCAGGTCGATTGTCCCGTACAGTGTGAGGAGAGAGCCTGAGGATTCTGACTAGAAGAAGGTTGATTAGAACGTGTCGTGTGTGTGTTAGCAGTAGTTGCAGTACAAGAGTCATAGCAGTCACACAGTATCTGCTTTTAAAGCTAACCACACTAGAAGTTCTCAGATTTGTTCCTGTAAATGGTTTCTTTTTCAGCAGTGGAGAAAAACATTGCCACTATCATGTTGGGACCAGGGAGAGCCATCAGTATCCAAAACAGTTTACTGGTGCAGAGATTTTGAAATTATACAATCTGTGGACTGAGTTGTCATCTTTGTTTTGTAAAGTGCTGCACTATGTCGGTTGATCGATTTGTTTGTTGTTCCTGGAGCTCAGTGCTCCACTTTATTGTGCTCTGTGTGGAGGGAGGGACTGAGCCAGTGAAGAAGAAAAAGTGCTGCTTTCAGCTACAGTGTTTCACGCAGTAGCTACCTGGCCAGTCGGAGGTGCAATAAAACGGCTTAATGATCATCATGCACTCTGACTGCCTTGTCACGCTCACGCTCAGAACAAAAGTTGCATATGTGACTATTTTGGTGGTAGCCCGGAGCCCTGCATTCACAATATTCATCCTGTCCTGCAGAGCTAGTTATTACATCCAAAATACACCCAGACTTGTCTTTTTTGAAGAACTACAAAAATCGGCAGGTGCGCTGTGCCCTCACGTTGAGTTGCTCCTTTGTTGTGTCAATGTGACTTTATCAATAATAACATTTGTTTCTGGAATTTCTGAATTGATTTCCACCAGAAATGTTCTTTCCTCTCTTACAATCTATTTATGCTGTCAAAATGTGAGTGATCGGCATCCAGTGGTCAAGTTCTCTTTTCACATGATAAAAAAACTGTGTAGTTTGTAAGCTTTCTACTGTTTCAAGTATCATAAAGGAATGAATCCATGGGGAATATTATTATCCTTTTTCTTTTCTGTTTTGTATTATACACGATTGGGTGCTGGAGCATGTTGTTCATTTTCTTGGCTTAAGAGCTCTTGAATGTAACACCACTGAGGCAGTCCTACCATTTATCTGTCTTTGTTCTCTGTGTTACCTCAGAGCAAAGTAGGCGGGATGACCTGGAGGCTCTTGGCCACATGTTCATGTACTTCCTGCGAGGAAGCCTGCCCTGGCAAGGGCTCAAGGTGAGTAGACAGTGGACTACCCAGCCAGTGTGCTCATCACTACAGTCATCTTTTGTTATTTCCTACATTTAATGTGTGGACCTTTTGTCTTCAGTCACTTTGCATCCATCTGTTACCTGTTATTTATAAAATCCCCCTCCTGTCTTTCTTTATCAGGCTGACACTCTGAAAGAACGTTATCAGAAGATAGGAGACACAAAGAGAGACACACCAATAGAGGTTCTCTGTGAGAACTTCCCAGGTGCGAATACACACATACACTTTAACATATTTTTTTTGCAGATGTTGCATATGGAGCGTGTGTTGATCAAATCTTGTGTGTCTCTGTGCATTTGTGGATTGGGTGAAATGCATCTGTGTGTATGTAACAGAAGAAATGGCCACCTACCTGCGGTACGTGCGTCGGCTGGACTTCTTCGAGAAGCCAGACTACGACTATCTGAGAAAGCTCTTCACGGACCTCTTTGACAGAAACGGATACATCTTTGATTACCAGTACGACTGGACCGGAAAGCCACTGGTTAGTGTGGAGTGTGTGTGTGTGTGTGTGTGTGTTTGTGCTGTAAGCTGTCTGAGCTGAACTTTATTGCAGGGTCAATGTTGAGAGGTCAGTTCAGCCGTGATGCATGGTCATATTACTGATGTGCTGTTAACAGGAACTGAGAGTCATGCATTAGTTTAGACTCATATTTCCAGAAAGTCAGACACTTCCTCCTCCTTTCCTCATACTGTAATCTGACTAGCTTGACTTTGAGCGAAGTCAGCAGGAGAAGGGTTTATATTTTCTTCTATATTAGGATTGAAGTTTATTGTGAGGACCTCCCCTTCATAGTACAACAGTAGTTCATTGATATGAGACAGTGTTTCCCCCACAAGAGCCTAGTGTGGGACTGTTTTCTTAATCCTACTGGATTTCCAACCATTACCGCTTCAGTACATTGCGTGTTCACACCTGCCTGCAACAGCAAACACTTACATATGCGTGATATGGAGTTCCACTGTTTTGTGTCCCTTAGCGAAAACTTTTTTTAATTGTGTCGTATTAGTGAAGAGATTCATACGTGTAACGCAAACTTGCAAAATAAATTGCATTTATAAGACGACGTTCTTCTAAAGGCAGTAAGTACATATTTCATACATTTCTCTGTAGCATTAATTATGTTTAGGAAAAAGTGATTCATCTTACTTTTGGGAGAACAGAGCAGATGCATCCCATGAGGCCCGATCGGATTGGGGTTCCGGGGCCTGGAGTCTATTTTTTGACTTCCCACTCAGAGCAAGTTTAAACTGCCAGCTCCTGCGAGATTAGCGTTAGGACCTCTGGGATCCACTCAACCCCTGGGATCCCAGTCCCAATGTAGCCCTCTATCCCCTAGGATTATTTTAACTGTTGTACACAAGTCCACAAACACAGAAGACGTATGTATGCATTGGTGGAACAATAGCTGAAAATGGCCTTAAAATGGTGATACATTCGGCTTTTTGTGTTTGTCTTGTTGTGTGTTATCACTTGAAAAGCTTTGGAAGTCAAAGTCAAGTTGAAACATATGGCTGTAATTGTAAAAATTGTAAAATTGAATTTCCCAAAAATGGGTGGGTACTTTTTTTTGTGCACAAACAAGCTGGAATCATGGTATTCACACCCTAACCACACCGAGTAATGACCTTTACGGAGGTTCAGTATTTGCACACGGTTAAGTAATATTCCTTGCAGATGACAGATCAGCTTAGGCGCCCAACCTCCGTAATTATTGTGAAATGTGCAGATACGGCAGCAAAATACGCGGCACAGCTGTGTAAATCCTTAGCCCTAGCAGGATTAGCTATGAAGCCATTCAGCTTGGCTTGTAGCGATAACTTTCATTTGGAATCATTCCCTTTGTTAAACTAGTTTCTGGCATTTACTGTATATTTCTACTTCTACTTTTTGCTTCTGAATTAGTTGACCAGCTGTTGCAGACACATGTGAACAGTCTGTTGGGCTGCTACATGGTGCGTGTATGTACTTGTTTGTGGCTGTTTGGTAGGTTCTCCTTTGTTTCATACGAGCACCAGGCAGCCGCTGTTACATTGCGGTGGTTCCGTTTCATCATGAATGCTAATGAACCATCTGAAATTTCAGCCACAGAGTGCAAACACTTAGATATAAAGTCCACATAAGGAATTGTCTGATAACTGACTGTGTATTTCCTCTCCCATGTTGTATTTCTGTGTGTTTAGCCCACTCCTATTGGTCCAGTGGCCAGTGAGACTCCACTTCAGACGAGCAACCGGGAGAAAGCACCGCAGACCAAAAACCAGGTATACACTTATTCTGAACGTACATGCAACACAGTGATGTTAGTGTTGCTACACACGTGCTTTTCCAATGAAAAATTAAGAAAAATAAGCTTTTGTCACTTTAAATAAGCTACAGTTGGACACATGAAGCTGCCTCTCACTCCTCAGCTTCTCTCACTCTGCTTTGCTCTGCCTGAGAATAGGTAGAGGTCTTGCAGTTGGGTTAACTCGCTCATCTTTAATTTATCAGAACTAAAGATAGCTGCAAATATAGAAGCAGTGAAACTAGGGTTAACACCATAAACTAACAGGCGAGAACAAACAGTAGTCGTACCTCAGCACCATGGTCATAATGGCCTGGTGTTAGAGTGCTAACATAGCATTTGATCTTGTTTTACTGTAAACTTAATAACGGTAGATGCATTTTGACACTGATCAATAGAACAGCTGGAACACACTGACAGCAGAGCACGTCTGCAGTCTTTTATGTAATCTGTAGTGTGAACTGCAAAAAAGAGGCTTCTGCGACTGGATTTTAGCTTTTAAAGGATTTAAGTTCACTCTTTTTCATGTCTGTTTGTCTTAAAACAATCATCAAATGGCCATATGTGCATTACCACTGTTATCGCTAACACGGGCCATTAAGCAGTTTCAAAGTAATGGTGAATAAAATCTTGAGTTCAGAGGATTTTATAGAGTCTTTTTGGTTTATATATAAAAATCCCTGTGTGTTTTTGGCATACAAGCATATTCTAGAGTAACTCAAAGAGGAGCTTCGGTACTAAAAAGACTAACTTGTAGAGGATAACCACTTATTTCAATAGCACATAGTATTGAAACCTCACATTAGCTTCACATAAACACTGGGATGTATTTTTCTTCCCAGAACAACAACAGCACTATAGCTTTTTCATGGCTTACATAAACTGCATTTTAGAACAGCCACATTTCCAATAATGCTGGTCTCATTTACATATTTTTCTGTTTTTGTTGTCAGACAACAGAATGAGTTTGAAATACTGAATGGAACACAGCCTATTATGACTACATGTGAACCAGCGTCACTTCAGAGCTATTTCGAAGCTGTGACTAAGCACTGCTAAAATACTGATTTTATAATCGTAGCATTGTCTAAGAAATCTACCAAACACACGAGTTAAAAACAAAGTCTGGCCTGGTGTCACACACTTCTCTGGTCTCTGCACTGTTAATCACGGACACAGAGCTTTTGCTTCCTGGAGACGGTGTGGACAGCAGCACCTCATTGGTTTTCAGAGCAGAACAGCCTGTTTAGAGCAGGGCTATAACCAAGGGTTGTACAAGCACAGTGAAATGAACCATGTTTGCTGTATGTGCTAAAAAAAAAAGGGGAAAAACCCACAGAGGAGACATGTGAGACTTCAATAATTTGCTAATAAGGGCCATAATATGGGACCTCTCATGCACCACATCCGTCTGATCAAGACATGTTTTTTTGGCTGATGTTATTTAATATAATATCAAAATATTTTAATTTAGATCAGATTCTGAGCAGGGTGGGGAAACCACATAAAAACGATGCTTTTCTATTGATCAATGTCACAAAATCTAATTACTGGGCCTGTGATTTAATATTGTCACACAAAGAACAGAAAAAGTTCTAAACCAAGAAGATGCATCAGTGTACATGCTGTGTTCAGTGCTGTAGAAATCCAGCTGTGCACTGTGTTTTTGAGGAGTTTGAAATGTTCACATGGTTTTCCGTCCAGACTGGAACCATGACAACACAAGCCCATCTACAAACTCACAATATGCACACTCTCACAAAGGGCTGGGCGGTATAATCTTAAACGAATTAAACTAAAGAATGAATACAGGTGAAACATAGAGAAACATTGTAGGATAATAGCTATGTCATGTGTGGCGTTAAAGGATAATTATTGTTGAATGTAATACGCTGGTGGTTATGCCGATCAGCCACAACATTAAAACCACCAGCCTCATATTGTGCAGGCTCCCCTCGTGCCACCAGACAAGCTCTGAACCATCGACCCAACTTCTTGGGATGTCCTGTGAGACCTGACACTGAGATATTGGTAGCGGATCCTTCGAGTACTGTGGGTTGTGCAGTGGGGCCTTCTTAGATTAAGCTTGTTCTGGCACATCCCATGAATGCTCAATTAGATTGGGATCTGGGCCTGGTCATGCTGTTCCTGAGCAGGTTTTGCGGTTTGGCAAGGGGGACACTGTGGTTGCTGTGGTTGTGGGGAGGGGTGTTCCTGGTCTGCAACTGTGTTTAGGTAGGTGGTACATACCAGGACCCAGCGTTTCCCAGCACATAATTGTGTCAGTGTTTAGATGTTGAGGTTGATTGGTGCAAAAAGTTAGCAGTTTGTACATTGTCTGTCTCAGGGGGCTTTTTTTTTTTTGTGTGTGTGTGTGTGTTAACTTTCAATCAGACTGAGAAGAGTTAAAATCATGAATTTGTGCAACAAGTTCAAGAAAAGCTGGATTAATCCTTTAAAGTTAATGGCTTAAGGCAATGGTTTCCACGTGTCCACGAGGGTCTGCAGGGCAAAAAATGTTATCATCCGTCCACCTTTATATTTCCATCATTAAGACAGCTGTAGTTAAAGTATTTGCTGCTGGACGTTGAAGGCGCTTAGATTTGTACGTACTAGAAAATATGAATTAATTAAATTACTTGTTGTTTCATTTAGCATCTTATGTTGAGTTAGAAGCGTCTCCAGTTGTCCTTTTAGCTACATTTTCTAGACTGTAAGAGCATAATTTTTGTGAGAATTACTTTTCAAAGCTGGAGTCGTGTTGAATTTGATAATGAGACAATTACATGTTCAGATCAAATCCTCTTTAAAAGGGTAACGCTGCACAGATACAGTCTTGTGTGGTTTGTAGCCCTTACGTTCATAAGCTAGCAGGTGTTTCCAGCTTGTTCGTGTTCAGTCTTTGCATCTCAGGCAGCCTTGAAAGTGTTTAAGTAGACCAATTTAACCTGCAGCAAGACCTGAAGGCTCTTGTAATGTGTTTTACTGCTACAAGAGCAATAAATTCATGGTCAGGGCTGCCCTAGATTCAAGTCAGTACAGTTTGTAGCTTTGCTGATAAGACTTTGGAGTAATAGGAAACTTTATTCCTTGTCATTACTTGGGTGTGTGTGTGTTACTGGCACAGCTCTAATGTTGTTCAAAAACAAGACATTAAAATTTATCTGATCAAATGTATACCTCGCCCAGCCCCTTATTGTGGTCTTACTGGTTATACCGCCCACTCCTTTCTTTTACATGCACAAATGCAGTCAGTCCAGGTTTATGAAGGCACCAGAAGTTGGGTTTTGAGGCAGGTGAGGTTGAAATCCCACAACGAGGACCAACTCTTTCCCCCTTTTTGCATGGGGCTTCCACACGTGCGCACTCTCCTGTGCACTCTCACTGCACACTTGAGTGCTCACCGTCCTGTTGCTCCTCCACCAAATACTGACTCTGAACTCACTGTTTCTTTTCTGTTTCCTTTGTCACTCTTTCCTCATTCTTTTCTCTCCTCACCAAACTGCTCCTCACCCCGGCGCCTCTCTGCTCCATCCGCTTGTCTTCCTGCTTCCTCCCATCACTGTCCTCTCGCTCTCTTCCACCTCATCTCGCCGACCCTCCTCTACCATTTCCTCCTCACCTCTCTCTTTCTCCACCACCTTCTCCTCCTCCTCCTCCTCCTCCTCTTCCTCTTTTATTCCCTTTTCTCCTGCGATCGGCTTCCCGTCTCCTCTAGTCTCCAGAGGGGAAAGGCAGTGAGTCCCAGCCCACTCCAGTGACCAATCGAGAGCTGCTGGGCTCCCATCTCACTGCTGATAGGCTGGGCGGGTCTGTCCAGGTACTGAGAGGAAGGGTTAGCTCTGCTGGCTTCCTGTCTGTCTGCCTACCTGTCTATCTGTCCGCCTGCATGACCTTCTCTGTCTCTGCAGCAGGGCTGACCTCAAGTCTGTTTCCTCACAACTTCACTTATTCCCTCACATGGGAATATTTTAAGAGAAATCCCAAATTATAACCATCTCCATTTTCGCACAGTATATGTTTCTCTGTGTTACATTTTTGTACAGCAGTTGTGCAGTTATTACTCAAATGGAGACGATCTACGAGGGGACAGAAGGTGGTTTCCTGGCTTCTCTACAGACAGAACAGAGATTTTGGAAGTCGAGTGACGTAGGCTACTTTCTGTGACAAAGCAGAAGAGGTGGAGTTCATATGGTGTATTTAGAAAGAACTAGAATAAACAATAGAAAAGCACCTGTGTGCATGAAATATGGGATCTGATGGAGTAAAGTTCTGGTAAATACAAGTGAGTAGGAAAGAGCAAATGCACTTAAATATTTGTCCTGGCTTTCTTTTAAGTAAGATTTTTATCAGTGTCAACTAAAGTGTTTGTGGTCACTATAGTGAGATGTAGTGAGTTGGCATGTGATCAGACACAGGGCAGAGGTGAATGTGTTGTTGGAAAGTTAATATTTACCTAGAAATGACATGTGACTTTGACTGTGTGGTTGTTGTGGCAGTGACAGTCTATTTGTAGCGTCCAGCCCTTGTTTTCAGTCTTAAAACAGTGGATGCAGGACTGTGGGGCTCAAACACCAGAATTATTTGTATAATTCTCATGATGTGACCATTCACACCAAAAGTCTCATCTTGTATCATAAGAGGTGCTTCTGTTACCTGTGTTAAGACTCAGTATATGGCAGAACATGTAAACGTCTAACCACTGTGAATGCAGGTGATCGTAATGTTCTGTTTTTAATGGAGCAGTAGTTAAAAAAAAATACAAACCGCATCATGCAAACATTAGGAAAAGTGACAAATATTTGAGATTGTAATAGTTTGCACAGAAAATGAGAAGACTTTGTGTTTTTGTAAATAGCTTGGCCCATTTTTTTGAATGAGCATCTGTTGGAGCACTGAGGGTCTATTTGTGAGACATCAGATTGTGCAGTTACAACATTTGAAGGAATGAGCAAAACACTGTCAGCCAATAAGCAGAGGTGACGCTATTTTGCATGGCAACAAAATGAATGTCGACAATGCCTGTATCTCCTCCCTGCTGGGTGTCACAGCTCATGTGACACGTCCACATTAAGCTAGCTGCATTTGAAAACAGCCTTTTCCTTTTGTGATGACGGACAGCAGGACACAGATGGTTTTCTGTTGTTCCAGTGTTTCAGTGAAGGAAAAGAGCTTTTCAGAAATGACATGAAAACCCCTCTAGCGTGGAAACATGTTGTTTTCACACGTTTTCAGATTTATCTGGCTCAGTGTGGGCTTAATGCAAGTCTGTCATTTTGTCCCACCACATTTTAAGGCGTTGATCCTTCTGTGCTCATCCTACTTTTCCTATTCTGTCCTCCAGGTGATGAGTTCAACCAATGGGGAGCTGAACACAGACGACCCCACTGCAGGACACTCCAACGCACCAATCACAGCCAACGCAGAGGTTGAAGTGGCTGATGATACCAAGTAAGAACACACTGAAATGATATCCATGTGTAGAGTACGTCAGCACCTGCTCTATTAACTGTTTGAAAAGCAAAAATATGAACATTTACATTTAAACCAACTTCTGCATATAAAAAAATGAACCAGCTTTTTGACAAAGGAAGTGTTGTCTTTACACTCAATGTGCTGACAGGGCAAGAAAATCTCACTTCTCTCAGCGTGGTCCATTTTAGAGACGCTGTAAATAAACAAGTCAGTTCATCATCAGCTGACCCTCCTGCCACTTAGAGTTTGTCTTATAAGGTTATTAACAGCCTCTTCATTAGGTCAGAATGATTCTATCTTTTGTTGCAACACAGTAGTAAATTAATTAAAGACGATATTATACAGTGACAGAACATAGGACTTATGGAATATTACCTTTTTAAATTTAAACCAGGTCTGTATGTATATATATTTTTGACATTTATTGTGAACATTTATTGTGTCATAGGTGATATATTTACATATACCCCAGCACAGGATGTAAATAACACCCAATTATGCCTGCAATTAAACGTCTTAACAATGTTAAACAATCTTAGATTTGTTCAAGATGTTCAGATGCTGAGAGTTAGTCTGAACCGTCTTAGTTCAGTTGGTTCAACTGTTTTTGACTGTTTGGTCAACAAGCTGGCGTTTGTGACAGAGTTCTTAGATGATCAGTCTGCCTCCGCCTCTGCTGAAGGCCAGTTCATAGTTTACACATAACTGCTGCAGACTTTGAAGGAGAACAGTGGATACGCCCACGGTTCTATTCATACTACAATAGCTACGCAGACTGTCTCATTGCTTTCATAATGAACAGGGAAAACACACAGGGCTCCTGCAAATGTTTCTGAAAAGTCAGCTGTGACTTAGCAGACATAGCACAGGATTTCTGGAGAATTTAGAACTTCACTTTAGAATGATAGATGATGAGATGCCCTGGTTTCCACAGACGAATGGGCCTCAGGAAGAGCTGCATGGAGGCCAAAGAGGAAGGGACTCAAATATTAACGCATATGATAGGGTGTTAGGAGCTCTGGGTTTGTTCACACAGTCAAACATTTTAAACCTTTATTTCTTGCTAGTTTGCATTTAATATATTTAGGTCTGTTGGATAACTCTTTCTGTTGACGAAGCATAAATCACTGGTACATGTTGTCATTTTGTCACATAATGCTTTTCTCAACTTGTTTTGCGTGCACATCAGCTGATGTTTGTGTGTGAGAAATAGCGTCATGCTCCAGAGCTCACAAGAGGTTCATGTCAGTCACTCTGATAAGCTGAAGTGCAAGAATAGTTGAAGCAGAAAAGCTGTATTTGGAGTCTGCTAATAATGACTTATGTGTTGCAGGTGCTGCTGTTTCTTCAAGAGGAGGAAGAGGAAAGCTCTCCAGAGACACAAATGAAAACACGAGACAAGAGAGAAACCCCTGCTCTCTTCTTCGCCATCTCTTTTTCCTTTCTCTCTCTTTGTCTAGCCCTTTTCATATAACCCTCTCTCACCCTCCTCCTCCTCCTCACCTCTGCTGACGGAGGTCCTGCGGCCCACCTCGGCTCGGCTGGACCACCAGGCAGCAGTTTGCTGAGCTGATCTACTGGTTTCTTCTGCTCTGGACTGAACAGACAGTGTTTGGAGTTTGAAACGTGGGCTGGATGCACCAGCCGTGGACCCTTCATGTATTTATGGTTACAGACTGAACTGAAACCAGATCAACAAACCGCTTTGGGAAACATGTGGCCACCAATGAACAGTTGACAGACTGTGAACAGCGAGCTGATTGGCTGACAGGCTGGATTCAGCTGCTTTACCAGCAGTCTGGCAAGTTCTCTCTCTTTTTTTTTTTTTTTTTCCTTTTTCTTCCTTACTGACTGGTTCAGAGGAGACAGAAGTGTATTTCACAGGAGATACAGAAGAGAGGACTACAAAAGCAATGGATGCAATGAGACTTTTGGACCACATGTGCACACAAAACACACGCATACACACACATGTACAAACACTCTGCACACCTTTCTCAAGTTCATCATAAAGAGACTTCATGGACAAAGAGATGCAGCTCTCGCACATAGTCTATAAAGTTTTTATTCCCTAGGGTAAGAGTAAGTACACAGTGAGCGGCCTGGTCTATTTCCTGCAGTGGATTGGGCTCAGTGTATTTCTCCTTCACCCTCAGAGGAAAACCTCACAACCACCAGAATCAAAAGTTTAAAAAAGATGTTTATGTAAAATCTATGCTTTTTCTCCCGTTTTAATTTGTAACTAAAAGACTGTGTTCTATTTTGAACCTGTGTTTTTTCCGTCTATTTGAGTTGTTCAGAAAGTTTGTGTTTTGTAGATTCTAGTGTGTTC